CGGTGCACCAGCTTCGCAGGTGCGTGCAGCTGGTTGGCGCCCAACTCCCCGTCACATGCCCAGCGCAGACACTCCGCCCGTGACGGCGCCCACCAGCCACGTCGACCTCGGGATACCACCCCCGAGGTCGTCCTCGCAGACAACATCCCCGGCGACTTTCGCGCACGTCGCCCGGGTATCCTGGTTGACCGGGTATTTCGCGGTCCTCCCGCGGTTTCTCGGCCACCGCGGTCCTCCGTGGTTTCGTGGCTCCACGGTCCCCCGCGATTTCGTGGCTCCACGGTCCCCCGCGATTTCGTGGCTCCCACGGGCCACTGCAATTTCGTGGCTCCCACGGGCCACTGCAATTTCGTGGCTCCCACGGGCCACTGCAATTTCGTGGCTCCCACAGGCCACTGCAATTTCGTGGCTCCCACGGGCCACTGCGATTTCGTGGCTCCCACGGTCGGCTCCGCCCAAGCGAGGACGGGGCCAAACACAACTCCCGTTGACGCTAACTTGTACCCTCATCCCTCCCGGCCCACCACCACTCCCACCGCACTCTGAACATCCAAAAAGCCCGACATCACCCCCCTGCGCGTGTGGGGTTCCAAGGCGTATGTTCTCATACACCCTGTCGACCGCTCACGCAAAGCTGGGAAGCTAGCCTCCCGCACTCTCCCCTGCATTTTCCTTGGTCACAACACCTCCTCCCCGGACTATCTCTTCCTCCATCCCCCCTCAGGTCGCCTCATTCGTAGTCGGGATGTGGAATTCGATGAAGCCCACCCGTACTACACCTCCCCCAAAGTCCCTAACCCCCTCCCTCTAACCACCCGTCCCCTCCTCTGGACTGACACCATTCCCCCCCCACCTCCTCTCCCCTCCCCTTCCCTTCTCCCCCCTCCCACCATTGTCCCACCTGCACCCCCACCCCCTCCCCACTCTCCCCCCGCCTCATCAGGAGACATCCTTGACCCCGTCCACCCTCCCTCCCCACCCGCTGCCCCTCCCCCTCCCCCTCCCTCACCCGCTGCCCCTCCCCATCCCTCCCCTCCCCCTCCCTCCCCCCATACACAACATTCCCTACCTCCCCCCTCCCCACGCCCTCCCCCACTCACTCCACCTCCTTCCTCCCGGCCCATACTTCCCACTCCCCCTCTCATATTCCGCCACTACCCTCACACCCGGTCCACGGTCCCCATTCTCGGTACCCCAAGGTCCACCCCCCCCTCCATCCAGTCTCTCACATCCATCCCCCTTCCCCGCCACTATAGCACCTCCCCCCCCCCCCCCCCACCAGCCCCTCAGGTTCTCTCAGCAGTCGCGCTCCCGTATCTCTGCCCCTCACAGCAACTCAGCGAAGCCGAGCTGCATTGCAGCTGTCTCCCCGCCCCGACCCTCAGCGCAGCAGAGCACCAGTGCAGCTGTGTCCCCGCATCAGCCCGACCCTCCAGCGCAGCTGTCTTGCAACTCCACCGCCTTCTCTCCCTCCTCCTCTCACTCCGGACCTCTCTGAGGACTCTCATGATGAGCTCATGTTCCTTCACCTCCTCTCACCCACCGTCGCCCCCGTAGTCCTCACAATGGCTGGCACCACTGTTCTTCTCTTCTCCACCACCCCCACCATCTACGAACCCACCACCTATGAGCAAGCACTTGCCTGCCTTGATGCACCTCTCTGGATCGAGGCCATGGTCAAGGAGAGCAACGCCTTCATCAGCAACCGCTCGTTCATTGACGTTCCTCGTCCCTCTAAGCACAACGTGGTCAAAGGCAGGTGGCTTTTTCGAGTCAAACTACTCCCTGGCGACGCCCCGGTGTACAAGGCTCGATATGTGGCAAAAGGCTTCACACAGACCTATGGCTCAGACTTCTTCGAGACCTACTCGCCCACCGCCACTCCACCGGTCATTCGCGTGTTTTTGGACTTTGTTGGGAGGCGTGGGATGATACTTCATTCCATGGATGTCACCACCGCCTTTCTACAAGGCGACCTTCACGAACTCATCTTTCTGGAACGACCCAAAGGCTTCCACGCCCCTCACGACCCTACCACTGTTTGGAAGCTGCTACGCCTTGTCTACGGGCTCAAACAAGCACCTCGGGAATGGCACGCCAAACTCTCCTCCACCCTTCGCGCACTTGGCTTTCGTCCCTCCCATGCCGCCTCCTGCCTCTTCCTGCGCCTCACCCCATCACCCTTCTTCATCCTCGTCTACGTCGACGACATGCTGCTGGCCGCTGACACAGCTGCTGAACTCCAGGAGGTCAAGGATAAGCTGCAGAAACGCCTCGCCTGCAAAGACCTGGGGGAGGTCCGCAACTACCTCGGCATGGAGATCACCCGCGACCTCACTGCCAAGACCATCACCCTCTCTCAGTCTTTTTACATCGAGAAGATTCTTGAGAGGTTTGGCATGAAAACCTGCAAACCCATCCCCACACCACTTGCATTCGGGCATCGGCTCTCCCCTCCCACCACTCCCGTCACCTCCCCTCATCCCTATGCAGAACTTGTTGGGGCCCTGATGTACGCCATGGTCTGCACTCGTCCCGACCTTGCATACCCAGTCAGTGTTCTGGCGCAGTTCGTTGGCACCGGCAGGCATGGTGAAGAGCATTGGAAGGCGGCCATGCGGGTTCTTCGCTACCTGCAGGGCACAAAGGACCATGTCCTCACTCTTGGTGGTGTGAACCCACCCATTCTTCAAGGCTTCAGCGACTCATCTTGGGCCGACGCACAGCCCGACCGTCGCAGCTCTCAAGGATATGGCTTTACACTTGGAAGTGGCCTCATCAGCTGGCGCTCCACCTGCTCTTCCTCCGTCGCCCTCTCATCCTGCGAAGCCGAACTGTACGCGGTCACGATGGCGGCTCAAGAGGCACGCTGGCTCAGCTATCTGCTCACTGACCTTGGTTCCCCACAGCCCTGCCCCACGTTGTGGTGTGACAACGACAGTACCATCCACCTCACCAAAGAAGCCGTCTTTCATGGTCGCTCCAAACACATCGAGCTTCGCTACTACTTCGTTCGTGACCTTGTCCAGGACGGTCACATCACTGTTCGCAAGATCGCCTCCTCCGACAACCTCGCAGATCTTTTCACCAAGGCTCTCCCCCGTTCTAACCACTCTGCGCTTCTACGCCTTCAGGGACTTGCTCCCCGCGGTGGCTGATTCAGGGGTTGTTACCTTCCCTCTTCCACAGCTTATGGATTTCTGCAGGTTAAGGGGTTGTGTTAGAATATCATCCTCACTTGTAACCTGCATCTATCCTATAAGCTTCGGCTAGAGGTAGACACCCAAATATAGTTTGGGTGTAGAACTAGGGCTAACCCTAGTTGGGTGTTGGAAATCAACACTTGGCCCAATTATTTGGCCCCCAAGGTTGGGTTGGGAATTATTGGCCCCCCAATAATGTTGAACCACCTTTGGTCAACATTATTGGTCCCCCCAATAATTCCTCAACCCAACTTATTGGTGGGGGCCAATAATGTTGGCTAGGTTCCCAACCAAACCATCCCTCCTAGCACAACTATGTATACCCCCTCTATTCCTAATATCATCAATGGTTCTTCCTCACGTTTTCTCACAACACTCACCAGGGTCTCTTGCTCGCCGGACCTTGTCTGAAAGGGATGCTTGCTGAACACCCTCAAACTCAAACCTTGTTTCCCCTCAAACTCAAACCTTGTTTCCCCTCAAACTCCGCACCACCATTAGCATGCCATCGCACAAGCCGCCATCTCACCACAAAAAGACCATCCTCTCCCTACAGGCTCAAAAAGACCACCCTCTCCCTACAGGCTCAAAAAGACCACCCTCTCCCTACAGGCTCAAAAAGACCACCCTCTCCCTACAGGCTCAAAAAGACCACCCTCTTCCTACAGGCTCAAAAAGACCACCCTCTCCCTACAGGCTCAAAAAGACCACCCTCTCCCTACAGGCTCAAAAAGACCACCCTCTCCCTACAGGCTCAAAAAGACCACCCTCTCCCTACAGGCTCAGAAAGACCACCCTCTCCCTACAGGCTCAAAAAGACCACCCTCTCCCTACAGGCTCAAAAAGACCACCCTCTCCCTACAGGCTCAAAAAGACCACCCTCTCCCTACAGGCTCAAAAAGACCACCCTCAAAAAGACCACCCTCTCCCTACAGGCTCAAAAAGACCACCCTCTCCCTACAGGCTCAAAAAGACCACCCTCTCCCTACAGGCTCAAAAAGACCACCCTCTCCCTACAGGCTCAAAAAGACCACCCTCTCCCTACAGGCTCAAAAAGACCACCCTCTCCCTACAGGCTCAAAAAGACCACCCTCTCCCTACAGGCTCAAAAAGACCACCCTCTCCCTACAGGCTCAAAAAGACCACCCTCTCCCTACAGGCTCAAAAAGACCACCCTCTCCCTACAGGCTCAAAAAGACCACCCTCTCCCTACAGGCTCAAAAAGACCACCCTCTCCCTACAGGCTCAAAAAGACCACCCTCTCCCTACAGGCTCAAAAAGACCACCCTCTCCCTACAGGCTCAAAAAGACCACCCTCTCCCTACAGGCTCAAAAAGACCACCCTCTCCCTACAGGCTCAAAAAGACCACCCTCTCCCTACAGGCTCAAAAAGACCACCCTCTCCCTACAGGCTCAAAAAGACCACCCTCTCCCTACAGGCTCAAAAAGACCACCCTCTCCCTACAGGCTCAAAAATCACCCACCGGAATCTCCTGCTTGCAGAACAGAGCACCCTCTTGGGCACCCCTCTGCTCTCGTCAAAATGAAGGTACTTTTTGAGTGGACTCCCAAAATCCTCTCTCACCACAAGCCCCCCCACTCATCACGAGCCCCCCTCACCCACCGGATCTCCTGCTTGCAGAACAACACCCTTCCGGGCACCCCTCTGCTCTCGTCAAACTGGCGATGACGTTTGAGTGGACTCTAAAATCCCTTCTCAAAAAAATCTCACCCCCACTCACCGGGATCTCCTGCTTGCAGAAAACCCGTGTGGGCGTCCCTCGACTTTCATCAAACTCAAACCGCAGCTCCGCACTCGCCAGCTCCAATGCGCCCGCCCTCTGCCTCTACCGCCGCAGCTCCTGGGATCAGCAATGAGAGGGAGGGAGGAAAGAAGATGGAGCCAGGTAAGGAGGGAACAGAGCTCTGCTTTGCACTCGCCAGCTCCAGTGAGGAAAGCAGACTAATAATGTGGGGAACGAACGCAAGTGCGGGGGGAGGAAGGCAAGTCAGGGGGGAAGAAACAAACACAGCTCCGCACTCGCCAGCTCCAGTGCACATGCCTGCCGGATGGCTCTGCTCTGCCTCTGCAGCAGTGATTGTGACAGTGTGATTGTGATGAAAGGCAACTGGAGGAGATGCACTTCTTCTCAAGGCAATGGAAGGAAGTAAACCCAGCAAATCACCGTTTACTCTTCACATTCCGCCTGCCGGTTGGACCTTGCACTTGTCTCTCGGATTGCGTGGAGCACCACGGGCTAAACGCCCTAAGGGCTAATTTGAAGCTGCAGGAGGAGGAAGTGATGGAGCTCAGAGAGAGGACTCGTACAGAGGAGTGAAGGAGGTGTGAGGCAGAGCGGGCTGCAGAAGCGGTAAAAATAAAGCTTCGGGAAGTGGGCGCCGCAGCTACGGCCCTGGCTCGGGTCGGGAGAAGTCTGCATTGGAAGAGTAGCTTTAGGGAATGTGGAGTTGGCCAACTTCCTCCTCTCTTTCTCACCCCGCTCCTGACTCTGCATCTCCTGAAGCTGCTCTTCCAATGCAGCCTTCTCCCGACCCGAGCCAGAGCCGCAGCTGCGGCGCCCGCTTCCAAAAGCTTTATTTTAACCACTTATGCAGCCCGCTCTGACTGCCTCACACCTCCTCCCCTCCTCTGTACAAATCCTCTCTCTGAGCTCCATCACTTCCTCCTCCTGCAGCTTTAGACTAGTCCTGTGGGCGTTGTTAGCCTTCTCAACCTTCCTCTCAACCGAGCCAGCCAACCAGCGCCACACATCCCCTGGACAATAGGTTTCAGAACCGAGTCAGTGGAGCAAAAAACCGAACTGCGGTTCGGTTCGGTGCGGTTCGGTTTGTTGTAACCGAACCGAACATGGTTTTTTGGCATCCGGCTTAAATCCGAACCGCTTCGTCTGTTTGTGCGGTTTTTTTGCCTACACTTTGTTTTTTCGGCTAGTATGACCATATACAATTTTCTCTGGAAAAACAAACCATTTAGGTTCGGTTCGTTAGCTAAATTAACAAACCACGAACCGGCACCATGCAAAATGGTTCGTGAACGAACCGGTTCGGTTCGGTAGCGACGAGTTCGATTTTTAATGGTATACAAACGAGCCTGGTCGGTTTGGTGCCGTGCTCATGTCAGTACTACTGACCCGAGCAAAGGCAGTAAGAGTGGCGATGCACGTCTTGGCTCGCGCCACCTCCCTCAGCCCGCCAGCCAGTTGGTGTTCCGTTGGCAGCGGGTGCACTCCGTCTGCTATGGCCTGCGCTTGAGCATAGGAGAGCTGTGTGGTGGGGCAGGGGTGGGGAGAGGGGGATGGAAGAGGAGGGTTGAGTGTTTAAATGTGTGTGCCCCCTCTTTCCCTCGCCTCGTCTGCCAGGCGATGCTCCTCCAGTAGTGGATGACTCCATCTGCTATGGCCTGCGCCTGGGCGTACGAGAGCTGGGGGAGATGGGGGGACGGGAGAGGGGAGTGTGGGTGTGATGTGTTCCCCCCCGCCTGCTAGGCGATGCTCCTCCGGCAGTGAACTCCGTCTTCTATGGCCTGTGCTTGGGCATACGAGAGCAGTGAGGAGGGAAAGGAGGGGTGACTGAGGGGATGGGAAAGGAGGAGGAGCAGGAGGAGGGAGACATGTGTGCCCCCTCTCTTGGCCCGCCTGCCAGGCGTTGTTGCCTTTGCAGCAATGTACGAGAGATTTGTTGATGGGAAGGGTGATACTGGAAGGAGGAGGAAGGGGGTGTGTGGGGAGCATAGGGAGGGGAGAGGGGGATGCCATAAATGTATATTGTATACAACATTCATAGGCTAGAATAGGTGTAGTCTGTTCTTGGGGAGTTGGGTGTACACTCCAACCACACTTTGTGGTTGGTCAAGATGGTCCTTGGTTGACACTTGCCAACTTTTGGTCTTTAGACAAACCAATCCCAACCTAGCTACATTGTGAGGTTTCTTACTCCACAAGGCACCTCACCCATTGGCCAACTTAGTGGCCAATAGGGTTAGCTTCTCCTCCACTCTTCTCTTTCCTACATGCTTGTATTATAGAGCCTTGTTGGCTCATTAATCAATACAATCTTCAATTCTCACATGGTATTCAGAGCCACATGGCTCATACCGTCCTCCTTCAATCCTTAGGCTATAATCTCCTCTCCGCTCCTCTACCCTAGCGGACTATGACCTACATCCGCCCTCCCGCACCTCAGATCTAGCCTCCCGCAGCTCAGTTCCGCCCTCCCGCACCTCAGATCTAGCCTCCCGCGGCTTAGTTCCGCCCTCCCGCACCTCAGATCTAGCCTCCCGCTGCTCAGATCTACTCCTCCACGGCCTCAATCCGCCCTCCCGCGGCCTCAATCCTCCCTCCGGCCCCAAACCGCTCTCCCTGTGGCAGCAATCCTCCCTTCCGCTGCCACGCCTCCATCTGCGCGCCGACGCGGACGACGTGCGCGCCGACGCGGACGGTCCGCGCGGCGCCGTCCACGGCCTGCGCGCCGACGCGGACGGTCAGCGCAGGGTTATGGCTTCTCTCTGGGCAGCGGTCTCATCAGCAGCTGGCGGTCCACACGCTCCTCTGCCGTCGCCCTCTCCTCCTGCGAGGCAGAGCTCTACGCTGCAACATGGCCGCGCAAGAGGCACGCTGGCTCACCTTCCTCCTTGATGAGCTTGGTGCCCCCCAACGCTGTCCCACCATCTGGTGTGACAACGCCAGCACCATTCACCTCACCAAGGATGCTGTGTATCATGGGCGCTCCAAACACTGAGCTTCGCTACTTCTTCATTCCCACTCCTTCCTTCTGCGTCTCCTTGGCCTCACCCCTCCTCCGATTTTGGCCTCACCCCTCCTCCGATTTTGGCGGCCTCCTGATTACATCTTCTAGCCTTATGCATGTTTGGGGGTTGTGTTGTAAATGTATATTATATACAACATTCATAGGCTAGAATAGGTGTAGTCCTTTATGTTCTTAGGGGGTTGGGTGTACACTGTAACCACACTTTGTATGGAATGCTGACGAAGAAGCACATGAGGTAATTATCTCCATCACTGCATTTCCATTTCCACAGCACCGGTCACCCAGTGGTTTGGATCCGATGACGGGTCACCTGGTGGTTGGATCGGATGACGGGTCACCTGGTGGTTGGATCGGATGACGGTTCGGCCGAACCACGGCGGACCCACGAGTGCGAAGCGGTGGGAGGGGTCGAGCGTCCAGATGACACTCACTGCCAGCCGCGTGTGGCCGCCTAGTAGGGAGCAGAGGCCCTCGCTGCAGTGAGGAGAGAGGAGGGGAGTGGAATGGAGGGCAAGGAAAATGAGGGGAGAGCAGTGGAGGGCAGCGAAAAGGAGGTGGATGGCGAAAGAAAATGAAACAACAACTGAACCTAGGGCATGTTCAGTCTAGGAAACAAACCTTTACAACTAGCCTAAACTAACTCTGAAATGGAATCAAGGCTAAAACTGGCCGAAAAATATTGCAAAGACCAGAAAAAGTACAGAAAAGAAACTAGCCTACTCCATCACCGTGGTGGAATGGGGGTGAGGGAAGAAAATACAGATCACAATCATGATGCCACGTGGTTACCTCAAGCTCTCTGGCAGCATGTTGCTGCGCTGGTTGGCGATACACAGACGTGCCACTCGTCATTGCCTCTGCACCCAACAACAGATTGACTAAGCCATAGACCGACCCTGCTCTTGCTCACCCCTTTGCCCACCTCTCTCTCGCTCACCTGAGCGCCTCTGGCAGCATGTTGCTGCGCTGGTTGGCGAGATACACACACATGCCCCTCGCCCCGGCCTCTGTGCCCCGTTAGACACTAATGAGCCACGCCTCTTGCTCACCTCTTTAATCCGCCAGTGGTTGACACCCCTCTTGCTCACCTGAGCGCCTCTGGCAGCATGTTGCTGCGCTGGTTGGCGAGGTACACAGACGTGCCCCTCGCCCTCGCCTCTGCATCCAATAGACTACCCGGCCGCACGAAGAACGCCACGTCGGCTATGTGCACTCCCACCTGGGGGTTTGGATGTGCCGAGGAGACAGGGAAACGAGCACACGCATCAACTCAGCGCCTGCTCTGTTGTTGACGCAACATGCAGACGTTCAATTGCAGCGGTGCCTTTGCACTGCACTGTGGTGCTGCGGGATTTATTATGAGGCGCCTCAGAAATTCAAGTCAATGCACGTGGTGCTGTGGGATGTGGAGGCAGGAAGGAAGGATCCAACGAAACGAAACATCTCCGGCAGGGAGTCCCACCAGTAGAATCTGGCAAACACCTGAAACTGACCTACCTGAAGAAACACCTGGAATAGACTCACCTGAATGAGGCCGTTGGGAAGGTGAGCGGTGGAGAGCACATCATCCACATCCCTGCTGCCAGGGGGATCGATGCTAAGGAAGAGAGAAGTGGGAGGGGGGGAGGTAGAGAGAGAGAGGAGGGGAATAAATGCAGAGAAAGGGTAATCACACTAGTTGGGGAAAATTGGGGAAAGGGAGGGAAGGGAGGGAAGAGAGCCCAAAATAACACGAACACCACTCCACCCCCCGCCCCCTCGCCCCCTCACCCCCCTCACCCTCTCACCTGCACATGAAGTGCGCCCTATCCCGCAGGTCCCTGCGCCTGGCTATCTCCTCCTCAGGCACCTGCCACTCCCCCTCCCCGCCCTCTGCTGCGGCCCCAGCCACTGGTTGAGGGACCTCCTGCAGAGCGCTGGTAGGTAGGGGGGTGGCGGGTGAGTGAGGGTGGCGAGTGAGTGAGGGTAGCGAGTGTAGGGATGAGCAAAGGGCGAACACGAACATGTTCGTGTTCGCCCCTTCTCGAACACCCTCTTTTGCCGAACCGAACACTGTTCGCTTCGGCGAACAGTTTAGGCAAAAACAGGTGTTCGCTGTTCGCCTGTGGAGGCGTGTTCGGGCGAACCTCGAACACGTTCGTGTTCGCCACGGGGCGTTCTGCAGTAGCGCCACGAACACGAACGTGTTCGGGCGAACATCGAACAGTGTTCGGCGAACAATTTAAGCTGAAAAACAAAACCTGTTCGGTTCGCCTCGAACGTGGTGTTCGCCACCTTGCTCATCCCTAAGCGAGTGAGTGAGGGTAGCGAGTGAGTGCGGGTAGCGAGTGAGTGCGGGTAGCGAGTGAGTGCGGGTAGCGAGTGAGTGCGGGTAGCGAGTGAGTGCGGGTAGCGAGTGAGTGCGGGTAGCGAGTGAGTGAAGGTGGCCAGAATGTAAGGTGGAGAGGCATCAGGGTGGGTGGAGGCCCACTGGTGGTGCTAGGTGGTGCTGGTGGGGGGATCTCTGGCAGTATGTAACCAGAGAGCTCATAGTGGGCGATCTGCAGAGCTCTGGCAAGCAGGGTGTGCGGAGCGAGTGGTGGCAAGAGGAGAGATTAGAGAGAATGCGAATGGAAAAGCGAGGCGAGAGTGGCGAGGTGGGAGAGGAGTGCCACACACGCAAGACACAGAGACACAGAGACACATGCACTCATCCAACCATCCCTCCACCCACACAAGCACCCACCCACCCATGCCCATCCTCCCACCCGTCCACCACCCACACATCAAGTCCCCTCAATCCACCCATCCTTCGCTGAAAGTAACCATTGTAGAATTTAAAGATAGCCAACAAGCAGTTCAGAGCGTACACGCATTTCGGCTATTATGCCTTCATTGGCGTTCCGAATCCTATTAAACCTGCACATTACCTACCTAGCAAGCCACTACATAGACTTATCAGTTTACGTGCATCTTACGTGCTCTGAACTGCTTGTAAGCTACCGTTTTAAAATTACTACGGTTACCTATACATGCTCATAACCAGCCTAGATCAACGATTAGTTTCTCTTTTGGATAACTTACTACTCAGTGATCAGAGCTTGCAGCTATCTACCCACCCTTATCTTGTAACCCGCCCACCCACCCACACACCAAGTCCCCTCAATCACCCACCCGTCACCGAAGGGCGGGATGGCGCCCCATGTCGTCCAGCAGCACACATTGACACACAAGCCGCTAACCGCACACCAACAGATGCCCGTTCACACACACATGCATGCACCCATCCACCAGCATGCCAAGTCCAATGCACCCACCGTCGCCGAAGCCACGTGTATAAAGGGTATTTTTGAGACATCTCATAAATACCCTTTATACACATGCATGCACCCATTCACCAGCATGCCAAGTCCAATGCACCCACCCGTCACCGAAGGGCGGGAAGGCGAGCCCCATGTCGTCCAGCAGCACTGCCTGCTCCACGTGGAGGGCTCCCATTGGCCCCAGCGTCCTCACCAGGTACACGTCTGGGTGGCGTGAGTAGCGGTCCCACGCTGGGGGGGAGAGAGCGGGGAGGAGAAAGGGGGAGGTATGGGAGTAGAAGGGATAGGAAGGAAAAGGAGGAGAGGGTTTGTTGAGGCCATTCGAAGCACAGCACATGTCAGCGTGGCTCGAGTAGCGGTCGCGTGCAGCAGGAGGGAGGAAGGGAGGACGTGGAAGGATGGGGGGTGGAAAGGAGGGGTTGTGGGGAAGGAGAGGAGGGTGTAGGGGAACGGTACTAGAGGAAAGGTTGGGGTGATGGCACAGGGAGTTATGCTCAAGGAGTGGGGAGAACTACGATATGCTAATGCAATGTGCTGTGCCGTGCCTCACCAAAGCTCATCATACCCCACCCAACCTCACCAAACCTCACCGAATTTCACCGGATCTCACCGCCTGCGCCTTCCTGTATCTCTCACCTCCTGCCCTGACCTGCAGTGGAGAGGCTACTTCAGAAATACCAAGTACACAGAAAAACTCATCTCCCACCCTCACCTCTCACACTCACCGCTTCTCCTCCCCTCCTCTCCTCACATGCAAAACTCCCCTCCCGTCCTCCCTTCCCACCCTTCCCATCCCACGCTTCCACCCTCCCATCCATCCCCCACCTCCCCCTCCCACCCCCCCCCTCTCCCCCTCACCTGCCAGGCGCACGACAAAGCGGGTGGCACGAAGGCGGTCCGCCTGAGTGGTGCGCAGGAACATCTGGGGGGGGAGGAAGGTGTTGAGGCGGAGGAGGAGGGGGAGAGGGAAGGGGAGGGGGTGAGGGGGAGGGGGAGGGGGAGGGGCAGGGGAGGCGGAGGGGAACAGAGGAGAGGAGTTAAGCGGGAGAGGGCCTGGATGGAGGGAGCAGAGGAGGCTGATGAGGTAGAGGAGGCACGTGGCCAGAAAAAAAGGAGAGGAGGAGGAGAGGAACGAGCGGCGAGTGGGTGGCGAAGGCGGTCAGCGGTCTGCGGAGGAACCAAGGGAGGAGTGAGTGTGGAAAAGGTGAAGGGGGGGTGGGAGGGAAGGAAAGTGGGTACATAGAATGGAATGGACACGTTACCCGTCAACAGGCCTCGTTGCACAAGCCAAGCCCCTCCTCCATCGCTCTCTCCTCATGCGAAGCCAAGCCCCACCCACAGCCCTGTCCCAACCTGTGGTGTGAGAACGCCCGTTGACCCATCTAGCTGGGTTTACCCCAGTGGAGGCTAGGAATCCAACGTTGATTGACCCATCTATTTGGCCTCCAAGGTTAGGTTGGCAGATTATTGGATCCCACAGTAACATGTGCCCGCCATTGACCAAGATTAGTCGGACCGCCGCCAATCATCTCTCTCAACTGAACATTGTGGTTGGTGGTGGGGGGAGATCGATAATGTTTGTGAAGGACCCAACCACCCCCCTTCCTTCTCACTGATACTATGTAGCGTTACGACTTCTCATACAATCATCTTCTCTTCCTCATGCTGTTATCACCGGCGGCACTCACCAGCGGAAGGCGGGCATCCATGGGCACACAGAGAAAGCCCATCCTTGCTCTGCCGGGGAATAGAGGGTCAGACACACAGGGGCAGAACAAGCAGAAACAGGGTTAGGGGGTTCAAGCAATAAATTAAAGCGTTAAGCGCAAAACATGAAGCTCAAATACGAGTCTGTAGAACATTGAGAGAACATCATTGCTCCACCCCAGGATTGGTTGAAACCTTTGGTCAACATTATTGCCCCCCACCAATAGGTTGGATGGAGTATTTCGATTCAGTGGCTTAACATTGGCAACATTGTCCCCCACTCTTATTGCCAATGTTAAGCCACTTCAACGCGACCTTCATTAGCCTCCCAGCCCAAGCAACTGAACCAAGGTAAGGGATTTCCAACCCCCCAACCAGGGTCGAACCTAGTTGCACACTTGAGACTAAGTTTGTGCCCTATCTAACATAAAAACTTCTCTTGGAATAAAATGAATACGAGTAATTGGACAAAAGCTCACTTGGAGGAGGAGGCACGGGAGAGCTTGCTGCGCGAGCTGGCTCTCGTACTCCCTGCCATGCTGCTGTGCATGCGCATGCTGATCTCCCTGCTCCCCACGCCCATACTCTCGCTCCTCATGCTGCTGCCACCCCGCACGCTGCTGTATGGAGTGGTGTCCGTCTCACTACATGTGGCAGTGCTGGAGCTTCTCACACCATGCACTGCTGCACCTGCTGGGTCTGTTGCACCGGCTGCAACTTGTTCATGTGCGGCTGACAGCACATTGTGCCTGTGCTGCTCCCCTGCCTCCTCTTCCCTTCCCTCTTCACCTTCCGCTTCCTCCTCTTCATCTTCCCCCTCCTCTTCCTCCTCTTCCTCACTCACTTCCTCGTCACTCTCCTCTTCCTCCTCCTCCTCCTCCTCCTCCTCCTCCTCTTCCTCCTCTTCCTCTTCTTCCTCCCCCCACAGCCACGCCCCACCTCTCGCCCCCACGGCACCCCCTTCCACCTCATCCACGTGGTCTTTAAGGCAAACCACAAAGTCACGGCTCACTCGGTGCAGCACACTCACCACCTCTCCCACCATCTCATACTCCCCCCCCTCCGCACCCTCCCCATTTCCCCAATCCTCCCTGTACTCCCCCCTGCCTCTCTCTGCACCCATGCCCATTCCCCCGTCCCCATCCCCATCCCCAACCCCACGTCCTCTGTGCTGATTCCACCCAGAAGCTGCAGGTCTTTTCCGGTGCCACCTCTCCTGCCCCTCCTTGCTTCCACTCTGCTCCTCCTCTCCATACCCTTCCCCCTGCCCCTGCGCATTCCCATCCCAACCCGCTTGCCACCCACTGTAATCCTGCCCATACCCATCCCCATACCCATCTCCACCCCCCTGCGCCTCCCCATACCCATCCCCACCCCCCTGCCCCTGCCCATCGCCAAGCCCTCCCCACCCCCCATGCCCCTGCTCCTTCGCCTGCCACCCCGCCTCTCCACTGCCATCATCCCCTCCTCCATCCCTCACCCCTCCCCCGTTCCACCCTCCATCCCCCCACCCAGGGGCAGGGGAAGCCTCCCCCCAGCCAGTAGGGGGAGGGGGAGCGGGAGGGGCAGCAGGGGCCTCCCCCCAGCCAGTAGGGGCAGGGGGAGGAGGGGTTTCTCCCCAGCCTGTGGGCGGAGGGGGAGTGGGGGGAGCTTCCGCCCAGCCAGTAGGGGGAGGCGGGGGCGGGACTTCCCCCCACCCTGACGTTGCAGGGCGAGGGGGAGCATCATCCCAGGCTGAAGGGGCCGGAAGGGGGTGAGCGTCAGACGTGGCAGCAGCAACGCCGCCACCACCACCACCACCCCAACCACCGCCGGCACCCTCATCCCCATCCTCCCCACCGGCACTGCCAACCCCAGTCCCAACCCCAACAACCCCACCTCCACCTTCCATTCCCTCACTCCACCCACCGTCGTACCTCCTCACTCCCACCACACCCTCCTCTCCCTCCCTCATCCCCTCCGCCTCTTTCTCACTCTCCCCCCAACCCCTTCTCCCATCCTTCGTCTCCACGCCGCCCCCCCCCGTGTGCCCGGCCCCCATTTTCCCACCCCCCATGTGCCCTCCCCCCATGTGCCCACCCCCCACCTGTCTGTCCCCCACCCTGCGTTTGCCCAGCAGCCTGACTGCCACGGTGTCGCCCGGGAGAGCGCGGTTGAGCTGCCGCCATGAGAGGACGGTGATGTCGCTGTGTGGCGAATGTAACTGCTTGCGACTGGAAGGCAGAGAAGGACGGGGCATGGGGCAGGGGTAGGGGGCGGGGGGCAGGGGATAGGGGGTATGAGGTAGAATGGCAGAGCGCGGTTGAGCTGGTGCCATGAGAGGATGGTGATGTCACTCTGGGGGGCGTGCACCTGCTTGCGACTGGAAGGGAAGGATGGGGCATGGGGCATGGGGCAAGGGGCAGGGGGAACGGGGTAGGCGGGGAGTGGGAGAAAAGGGCAAGGCTGACAGGCAGAGCGCGGTTGAGCTGCCGCCATGAGAGGATGGTGATGTCACTCTGGGGGGCGTGCACCTGCTTGCGACTGGAAGAAAAGGACGGGGGGGGAGGGGGAGGGGATAAGCGGGGAGTGGGCAAATGGATAAGGAGTAGTAAGGCTGACACGCAGAGCGCGGTTGCGGTGGCGCCATGTAGGGATGGTGATGTCACTCTGGGGGGCGCGCACCTGCTTGCGACTGCACCAGAGGAGTGGTGGGGTGGGGGTGCGTGGGGCAGGGGGCATGGGGAAGGGGGCAGACTGTGCGCGGCTGAGCAGATGAGCCTTCAGGAAGAAGCGCGGTTGAGGTGGCGCCATGTGGGGATGGTGATGTTGATGTGGGGGCGTGCACCTGCTTACGACTGGATGGGAAGGATGGGACGCGTGGAGGGGAAAACGGATAAGGGGAACGCATGGGGACGAAAATGGCTATGGTGCAAAGAGACAAAGAACTGCAAAGTCAGGAGGTATTGGAAGTCAATGCCGGTCAATATGACAATTTGAAATTGAACCAATGACTTTCATTGAGGAAGAAGCAAGCATACATAGGTTGACGAGAAGGTTGGAAGGGAAGGGGAGGGAGGTGTTGCTTGGGGGAGTAGGCCAACCTATAGCCCATTGGGGTAGGATGGCAACACTTGGAGAGTGGGCCAACCTATCGCCCATTGGGTTGAGTTGGCAACACTTGGGGAAGTGTTGCCAACCAATGGCCCATTGGGTTGGGTTGGCAACAAACCCAAAGTGTTGCCAAATTTAGGGACCAATGGGTGCATTTGGGGGCTCCACCACAATTGGGTTGGATTGGCACCCCAAAATGCAAGACTACACCCAAAGTTGGGTGTTGTCCCAACCCAACTGTACACCACATATATATATATATATTTCTAACAGCCAATGGAAGTCAAGAGCACTCCGCCCTCACCTGTGTATCACGGTGGCTTTGAAAGGCTCAGTGGTTATGACGTGGAGCATTTTTACACAAATAGCTACCCATTACCACCCCCTCTACCACACGAATAAAATAAGTCTAACGGAGCACTCTTCCCTCACTTGGGTCTGACGGTGGCTTTGAAAGGCTCGGTGGTTGTGATGTGCAGCACTCCCACTCGGATAGCCCCCACTGCCACACCCTCCGCCACTGCTGTGCCTGGCGAATGGGAAATGGGATGTAGGAACAGTGGTGGTTGCAATAGGCAGCACTCCCACTCGGATAGCTCCAACTGCGATGCCCTCTGCTACTGCTGAGCCTGGACATTGGAGAACTGGCACTGTGCAGAAACCGATCACAGATCATGATAAATAGGAAATGGGTTACAGCAACGACAGGGAGACGGTGTGAATGAGCACATACAGCACTGCATTTCCTTGCAAGGTACTTGTCAATGAAAGTGGCCATGGGGAAGAAACCTTTCGGTGTCACTTTTCAAAGCACCAGAACTCCTCGCCGCACCCCTGCTATTTTTGTGGCGCCTAAAGAAGTGTTGCACCCCTGCTCCGCAATTGTCACAGACCTAGTCACCTTGCACACCGTGTCAATTCCTCCTACTCCATGTCGGTGTGAACACCTCCTTGCGCTTCTTCCCGCTGCCGAGCCTGCCGCTTCCAAACCTGCTGCCACCGAGCCTGCCGCTGCCAGACGTGGATTTGAAGGACGAGGAGAGGCGCAAGGCATGCTGGGTGGCCTGGTGGGGAGGGAGGCGGACAGGAGCACAGGCATGTTGGTGGAGGGTCCTGATCAGCGGTTGAAGCACTGAGGATGGTTGATGCTCATGCTAAGAACATCAAGGAATGGGGATGGGGATAAGAATGGGGTTGGGTTGGGGATGGGGATGGGGATGGGGATTGGTCAAAGGAGCACTGCGGTAACTGAAGAGAAGTGAAAGACCTACTCTGACTTGAATCACAAGTCTGAAGCTACGGTAGAGGAAAAACAATGCGAATCAAAATCAGAAACAACGAACGCAAGACGGAAACCTGAGTAACCATACGTGCGCGGTTATCAGGTTGAGGTTTGGGTGTGCTCACAAGAGATTCCACGAGAGTGGTGAAAGTGGTGGTTACCATAACGGTATGGTAGAGCGTTGGGTGTGCTAATCAAAGAGTCCATGAGTGGCAAGAGTGGTGCAGCAGTGACTGTATGCTCCAAGTAACACGTGTGGTTACCAGGTACGATAGATGAAGAGGGTTCTCACGAGGGAGTCCATGAGAGTGGTGACAGTGGTGCAGTGGCCGTAGTAGGTCTGAAAGAATGCCTCTGTTGTCATCACCTGCCGCACAGGGAGATGGGAGATGGGAGATGGGAGATGGGAGATGGGAGATGGGGGACAGAGGGGGCAACAACGAAAGAGACGAAAGGCAAGACAAGGAAGTGCGTTGAAAGTTGGGAGAGGGAGGGAAGGAGGAAGGTGAGAGAAGGCTGACGTTGCAGCAATCGAAGTAAGGAGGTCAGATCTCTTGACACCTCTCCTGTAAGTCCAAAGAAGTCTCGAGATTGATACACGCAACAGAGATTACATCACAGCATGCACGTACCACCCGAGAACCCGCACGTACCACTACTTCGTTACGCTGCACGGCCTGCAGCACCTCGCCCAATGGCATGCTGCCACGTGCTGCTGCCAGCTCGTCCGACACGATGAGGATGGGTATGGCGCGGTGCAGATGGGTTGAGAACCACTGTGCTGCCGCCACCACGTGACACAGATCCACTGGGTTGGTGAGATGTGAGGGGTCAAGAAGCACACTTGCTCTTGATGTGAGATGCAAAGCTGATAAATTGACGATGCATAAGTCAACCTAACGTAGGGGATGAGAAGCATAATAGCTCGATGTGAGAAGGAGGAATGGTAAAGAGAGTGCGAACGAAGCTTTTCTGAGGGGCATGAGAGCATATTGTGGACACCACACCACACATGCCCACACACACACACGTACACATGCGTCCATCACACACAATTTCAGCCGACACAACCTCACCCCAAGTGTCTTTCTTCAGCCCAGCAGTGACGAACCAATGAAGGTTCCTTGTCACGAGGTGACTGTCACACACTCAACTCAAACACCCACACACCCACCTTCAGCAGAAGCAGCATCACCAAGTGTGACTCTCAAGCTCGCCCGCCTCTCCTCCGCCATGGTGTGCGTGAAGAGGAAGTGCCGGTCGTCAAAGTAGGAGCTCTCTCTCCGCCCATCTTCACACAGAGCACTGCGATGGGGTGAAGTGATGAGAGGAAGGAGCATCGTGTAGGTGAGACCAAGGGGGTTAAGGACGAACTTATCTTGAAGTCTTGTTGAGACGGAGCAACTGAGTGGAAAACGCGAGGAAAGGGCGAAAGACTAGGGGAGAGGGGTGAGAGAGATTAGACTTTCCAAGAAACAATTAGAATGGGATTGGGAGTTGAAAGCAGGCCAGGGTATACTAAGCAATGCGACCATGGGAGGTACAGAGAAGGAGCGGGGCAGTAGATAGGAGAACAGGACATCAAGGGCGGCAGCAAGGCGGCAGCAAGGGCGGCAAGGTGTGGGTGTGGGAGGAACGGACCGGATGCGTCCCGCGTGATAGGCGCTGGAGTAGTGAAGCACCTGGGAGGGAGAAGGCGAATGGAGGGGAGGGGAGAGAGGGCGCGCAGGGGGGGAGAGGGGCGAGGAGAGAAGGGAGAGGGGATGGGGGATGAGATATGGGAAGGAAGTGGAAAGTGGGATGATAGGAGATGTGAGGAGGAAAGGTTAGGATGGGAGAGAAGGGACAGGACAGAGAACACATTCCATATTCTTCCAGCTCATGCTACCTCCTGCCATGTACCCCCAGCTCATGCTACCTCCTGCCATGTACCCCCAGCTCATGCTACCTCCTGCCATATACCCCCAGTTTATGCTACCTCCTGCTGCCATGTCAACCCACCAACCCGCCCGCCCACTCCCTCAAACCCTTCCCACCCCTCCTTTCAGCAACCCACTCATGTCACACATCCATTTCCTTAAGGCACGAAGCTCAGAGCCCACCCACCAACCCATCCATCCACCTTCCCCTCACTTCCCCCTTCACTCCACGCACTCCTCCCCCAAACTCTCCTGCCACGCACCTCCTTACGCACACAGCGCAGATCCCACCCACCTACCCACCCACCCACCCACTTCTTCAACCCCCTCCCTCCCCACTTTTGGCAACCCGCTCTTGTCACACACGCACCTCCTTGGGCACGGAGCCCAGAGCCCACCCACCCAACTTACCACTTCCCTCCACCTCCCCCTCCCCCCCTCCACAACCTCTCCTGCCACGCACCTCCTTGGGCATGGAGCCCAGAGCCCACCCACCAACCCATCCATCCACCTTCTCCTCACTTCCCCCACTCTTTCCCCTTGGGCACTCTTTTCTGGTCACACCTCCTTGAGCACGGAGCCCAGCACGATTGTGTGGCGTATCGGTGGTAGCTCCCACACCTCCATGAATTCAACCAGCGAGGCTGCATCGGGGATCTGGGGGGAGAGAGGGGATGAAGGGGGGAAGGGGAGAGGGCAGGAGAGGGTGAAACGGGGGGCCGAAGGTGGGAGGGAGGAGAGTAGGGAGGGGGGGGAGAGGGCGGGAAGGGGGTAAAGAGTGGACGGTCGAAGAGGCACAAAGGCCAACATTAGTAGCATTTGTCAACATAAAGTGGAAAATGTGTGAGTGAGGCTATCTCTCTGCCGCAGGTTGTCTTCCAATGCTCTCCGCAATCTCTCTCTTGTCCCTCATCATCGCCTCTCTTCCTCCACTTCTCCTCCCTCGACTTCACAGGTGGAAGGTGGACGAGGCACAGAGAGGGGAAGAGGGGAGATTGAGACAGGGGAGCACGGGAGAGAAGGCGCGGGAAGAGAAGAGGAGGAAGCAAGGCGATGATGAGAGGCAAACGAGAGACCGAGAGAAACATTGAAAGACGAACTGCGGCAGAGAGATAGCCTCACTCACTCACTGATTCTTGTGTGAGCTCGTCAACTCATTCACTCATCCACAACCTCAATCACTCCCTCCCTCATTCACTCACACATTCCCTCCCTCCCTCACTCACCACGTAGTGTCTCGCACTAGCGGACAAAGAAGGCCGGTCCGCCTCAGCGTAAAGCAGCAGGCCTTCCTCAGGGAACTGTCAGAGCAGCTCTCGGGGGAGCAGCTGGCAGGGGAGCACATCCCCAAAGAGCAGCGGGTCATGGCGGGGGAGGTGCGTGTAGCACGCGTAGCACAGCGCAGACCCGCACTTGATGTCCTCCCTCAGATAGTGCTCCTGTACAAGCTTCATCACCCCCACTCCCCCTGCTGCTGGGCCCCCTATTCCGCCTCCTGTTCCCACCCCTCCTCTCCCCCTTCCTCGCCCCGAGCCTCCACCAGCGCTGCCGTAGATGCCACCTCCCCCAGAAACGCCGAGCAGGCTGACGGTCGCGGCGGACCCCGCGCCCACGCGGATACCCAATGAAGGCCCGCCAGCTGTCCCGCCGCGTTTCCTGCGCATGCGCACGTTGGTGTCCTCCTGGGGGGAGTCGCGGGAGGGGATTGGATGGGGAAGAGCGGGTGCGAACGGGAGAGGGTGGAGGAGGAGGGGGGCGGGAAAGGGGATGGAAGAGCAAACACGAATTTCGCAGATGGTCGTTGGGGAAGGGAAAATTTATGGAAATACGAGACGGACGCGCGGAGACGCGGCGCTGCTTGCGATCTTGCCGCGCTTCCATGCACCAGCTCTCATGCTGCTCGTCTTGAAGGTATAGTGCTCTAGGCCCGCGAACAAGATTTGGCGCCGCTTCTAGGCCCGCGAACAGGATCTGCAGGAGTCGCGACAGGATTCCAAGTCGCAGCGCAGCTGATATGATCAATTCTGGGAAGAATCTCGATTTCGAAATCATCTCTGTCTAGCCATGAGCGACTTTCTGGTCAACCCAACGAGCGCGCTCAAAATCCACCTCGTCTGCTACACCTGCTGCAAACGACGGCACGGCGGAAAGTGGTCTTTGCGTCCAGCCGCTGCTACTAGTATCACAACGCCGCCGTACTCGCTGGCCAGGTCGCAATAGAAAACGAGTCAAGTGCGACAGGCGGCAAAAATCTCGCGCGCGGGACTTACATATCTCGCGGTCCATCTGCCGAGACTCATCTTAGAATGCGACCTGGGCGGTCCAGTGTCAATCTATTTTGGTAAATTCGTTGATTCTGCCATCGTCGTTCTAGGGTGCTGCTATAGCATGACAAGTGGAAGAATGTGAGTTAGAGGAGTGCAGTGGAAAGTCACAATTATCCATCTCTCTCAATGCATTTTATGGTCCATTCGTGATTGTCAGTGCGTCGGAATCTAAAAAACTTGGGGCATGTTCTGAAAATACTTGGCCTTTATTTGGTCTAAAGTGATGCCTGCCTGCAATCCAGTGCATCTGATTCAGGCACCAGTACCTCCAAGTTGGGGGGTTTCTTGGCAAGGGAGACACGAAACTGGTTAAGAGAATTTTCCGAACTGAAGGTTGGGAGTGTCGGGTCTCGGGACAACACTCGCATTTCACCTTTCCACGCTCGATAATGGAGGATTTTTTTTAAGGTTCACTTCCAGCTGATCCTCAGAATACCTTTCCTTTTGGATTCCACACTCGAGGTTATCAAACAACGATGCCTCTCAAATTTATTTCCCATACACATGATCCAACCCATAAAAAAATAACAGGGCCGAGTACCTTTTTAAAATCCATGCCATCCCAAAAGGGGCAGATCTACACCTAGTCCGCGGTATTTTAACCACGTGAACTGTTTTGCTTCAAACACCCTTTGTTCATTTTCGGGTAATGAGATGGGCACCCAGAGACTTCCAGGCTATTGTTTCGTAGCCAGAAGCATTTCCTTCTAAAGAAACTCACACTTAGTGCTCCAAAATAGAGGGCGGATCGGCATTTACCAGGTTTTGACTGCCGTCGCCTCACAAAGGGTATGCTATATTCTACCCTCAATAAATTTCAAAACTACTCGTATAAAAAAGTTTGACCAAGGAGAAGTACTCTCGCGCGGTTAAGATAGCGGCGGTTAAAATACCGCGGACTAGGTGTAGTTCAGCAGCCAAACCTTGGGCAGTGTGGGCGGACAGTAGGTTTTGCTGCCAAGGAGCGAGAGAAGAGGAAGGCGACGGATTATCAACCTTTTCTGCGGCAGCACAGGGGGGTTCGTTTCTTCCCGTTGATTCTTGAAACTTGGGGTTGCTTGGGGGGAAGCTTTCGACAGTGGTTGCGACAGCAGGGGGAGGTTCAAGTAAAGGTGGCTCTTAACAAAGGTGTGGGAAGGGGCAACATCTTGGGTTTTTCGGAATACTTGGTGGGGTCCTTGACAGCCGCGGTAGGGGTAGCTTTGCAGAAGGCACAGGCTCGGGTGATTCTTTTGCGGGCGGCATACACGTTGGGTCAGTCAGAGGCGGAGTGGGTAGAGCGAGGGGGTGGGGAGCAGGAGTTTGGAGAGGGAGCACCATGTGTGGAGGTGCCCTACTTGGTCGACATGCAGCTGTAGATGTCTTAGGAAGCAAAACTTTGTTTCGGGTTTTGCTGATATATAGGGGTCCTCCAAAAGAAGAGTGTTAGAGTTGAAATAGGCACGCTAGTGGTAATCGTAGACATCAGCGTCAAGCCTTCTCTCAACATAGCATTCGCACAATCAATCCACTTTGCTCTGCATGTTTCTCTCCTAAGTTGAAGCACGCGAGGTCCATAGAAACACCACTCTAGCATGCAGAGCAACACGTGGCACACCCCATTAGCTAATCTCGTCCGATCGACTTAAACCAAGGCCGATCTCCTCTCGAAGATGAGTTTTTTCCACACCAGAGGCGAGACGAGAGGCGAAATGGTAGCGGAGCCTTCTCGTATCCATTGCGAGCTGCCTACATGTTTCCATTTTCTTACGACTCGTTTGTACGGAACGTGCAGTTTTAACCCCCTAGACTTACGGCACGTAAACGAGAGTCTAGTCTCCGAGTTTCACGAGCAAGATCACGCATTTCTTTCTCCTTGCAGTCAGTTCTTCCTTCCACGGTGAGTTTCTTACATCTTCGCCAACTCAGCATGTTAAGTTAAGGCATAATCGGAACCATGGAAGGATGACGTGAAGAAATCACATTATATTTCTGTAATGGTTGCGAGCTTTCACGAAGGGTTAAAAAGCAACCGTTTTGCCTCTAAATAACCTCCTATTTGACTCAGTGGTTCAAAGCATGGAACGACATAGTTCCAACGATAACGTGTGCTAGACCATCGGACCAAAACGGGGGTTGTTCAGAAACGGTTGCCTTTTAACCCTTCGTGTAAGCCCGCAAACATTACAAACATGCAATCTTTGCTGCTGAACCCCCAACAGGGTCATGTTGGTCATCTTAGAGTTTTTTTCTTCCAATCATTCTTCTACCATTTGTGAAACGTACCATTCACCATGGAGTTTCCCTTTGACAAAAGTCAACGTTTTGGTATGCACCCATTCTTTGGCCAGCAACACAGCTGGCCTGAGCATCAACCCCCGATTTTTGCGCCCAGATCTGTGCGAATATGAGCTCCAATCCTAGATCTGTGCGAACCTGGGTGCCAAGCCCAGAGCTGTGCGATTCTGATCGCCAATCGCAAACCTCTGCAAATCTGAGCGCCGATCCTAGATCTATTCAAATCTGAGCGGCAAACCCAGATCTGAGCGCTGATTCCAGATCTGTGCAAAACTGAGCACAAAATCCCAATACCCACGGATTTTACCTCCAAAACCGCCTCTGCCATACACTCTAGGCGAGGTCTCATGCTGCTTGAAACCCCAAATCTATCTGAACCAATTAGTTTGTCAAACTGAAGATGTTTGCTGATTTCTGTTTGCAGTTTGTTACTTTGCTCAACCCTCACAGCCATCTTCTACATTCTCATGTTGTCATGTTTTGTCACACTCCTCACCTTCTTGCAGCCCTGCTGTGCACTTTGTTACAACACCAAGACACCCATTGGAAGGTCTGAAGACAAGCAGCCATGCCTCAAACAACATAAAACTTTGAAGACCGACCATGTGAATTTCATTTTTTAATTCAATCCGTGGTGGTAGTGCCTGATGCCAAGCCAACCAGTGTTTTCCATGTCGATAACATGAGACCTCGTGTTCACCTTTCCAATGTGTGCTTTGTTCATTGTTATCCTTTTGCGTTTCTTGTTCTTCACCCTAAAGCGGGTTTTGAGTGCTTCCATACTAACAGTTTATGGGCGTGTCAAGTTGGCAAACCTGAAAGTGATCCTCAAAGGGAGCAGAACGTGGGGGAAGGGAACTTGCAGCCCTACTCTGTCTCCTATGACAACCCTCATGAGGAGAAGGAAGTGGTGGTGCAGGCCCGGCTCCGGCTGGCCTCCCGCACTCTTGAACCAAGTGACTGTCGATTGATCAAGGAGGGCACTCTTGTAGTTGCTTTCGTGAAGCATCCTTCTGGTGATGCAGCCGTTTGCGGGGAGGTGAGACACTGATTGCTTGGTGAATGTGCTGAGATGCGGCTCTGATCTACTGGTCTACTATTCTGTGATGATTGGTTGCACATGTCCCACCTGGGGAGATGATTTATGGTTGTTTAGACCAACAATGCGGCGGATAATCCATTGACAATGTGATACATCATCTGAGACAGAGTTGAGTGTCTTTCACAACATGTTTAGCGTGACTGTGTGTGTCTTCATTTTGTTCCCTTCCCTACCCGTCCACAGGCACAATATGTCTGGAAGAGTTGTAGTACCAATCAGGCATCGGAGCCGCAAGGATTGATGGAGGACAGCTTATTAGACGCAATTGTGTGTGTCTTCGTGCTGTTCCTTTCCCTTCCACAGGCACACTACGATGGAAGAGTCGTGTCAATAGATCGTCGGCGCCACAGAGTCCTACGAACAGGGGAGGAAAGCTGCCGCTGCACCTTCGGTGTGCGGCTCTTCTGCCACTGCTTCACCCGACCCCCCTCCAACGACACAGCCCATCCTGCCTCTTGTAACAATGAACCTGGACCATTGCCAGCTGCAACCACATCGTCTGCAACAGCAGCAGCAGCAGCAGCAGCAGCAGGTGCAGCAGCAGCAGCAGCCTCTCGTTGCGTCAATGTTGGCAGCGACAGAAACAGCAGGGGCGGGACCAGCAGCAGAGAGGGCGTGTGCTCTGACACTGGAGTTACGGAGATCAGCACCAGTTTCAATGATCCTTCTCGCTTTGTTGCAGATGACGGCCGGGAGAGCCGGCTGGATTGGGCGAGTGTGAGTTGCCCGATCTCCGCCCTTTGTGTTAGAGTTAATCCCCTTCGCCGGCTGCCAGAGCTTCTAGAGCAGCACGTGGCTTTGCTTCGACAGCCGTTTCCGATTGAAGGGGTAGAACGGAGGGAGGTCCAGGTGGGGGAAGACACGGTGGTGGTGAGTGGTTGGGGTTGGGAGGATTGGCGGGTGAATTCCCCGTACTCCTGGTCTGGGCCCCTGCTGCCTGACGCAAGAGCTGGTGCTGGTGGTGCTGCTGCTGGTGGTGCTGTTGCTGGTGGTGGTGGTGCTGTTGCTGGTGGTGGTGCTGCTGCTGTTGGTGGTGGTGGTGCTGCTGCTGCTGGTGGTGGTGCTGCTGTTGGTGGTGGTGGTGCTGCTGCTGCTGTTGGTGGTGGTGGTGGTGCAGCTGCATCTGTTCCGGCAAGTAGTCATGCCGACTCCCCTATTGTCATTTCTGATGATGCTTCTGCCATTTCTGTTAATGATGATGTTGTTAGTGTTTCTTATGGTGATAGTGGTGATGGTGCTGCTGCTGCTGCTGCTGCTGCTGCTGCTGCTGCTGCTGCTGCTGCTGCTGCTGCTGCTGCTGCTGCTGCTGCTGCTGCTGCTGCTGCTGCTGCTGCTGCTGCTGAGTCTGCTGGTGGTCCTGCCACTGATTCCGCAGCAGAAATTGCTCATGGTGCTGCAACTAGTGATGATGGTGATGCTGTTGCTGATGCCGTTGCCACTGCAGCGCCTGCCCCGGCTGCTTCCAATTTTGTCGTTGCAGCTGCTGCAGTGAATGCCTCTGGACTCACAGCTCCAGCCCATGGTGCTGCCGCTGCTACAGGCTTTGCTGCTGCAGCCCCTGCTACTGCTGCTCCTGGTTTTGCTGCTGCAGCCCCTGCTGCTGCGACTGTTGCTGCTGACGCTGATGCTGCTGCTGCTGCTGCCGCTGTTACTGGTTTTGCTGCTGCTGTATCTTCTTCCGCTGATTCACTTGCTACTGCAACTCTCACCGCTGCTTCATTTGTAAGTGCTCAAGGGCAGAAAAGGATGCAACAGGTTGAGAGGAAGAGCAACAGGAAGTTGGCTGAGGAGGATAGAGGAGGGGAAGGGGGGGTAGGGAATGCTAGGGAGGAGGAACCGTTGGAAGAAGAATGGCATCAACCATGCGGCCGCAGAACCAGTAGGGCACGCAGATGGTTATGTCCTTCGCTGCTCTTTGGTGCATCACCTTCATATGTTGCCCCGCCTGCCACATCTGCTGCTGCCTCGTCTCCCTCTCCTGCGGCTTCCCTGTCTACCTCTCCTGCTGCTGCCCCGCCTGCCATTCCTGCAGCTCCCGTGTTTGCCTCTGCAGCTAATTCTGCTGCTAACGCTGCCGCCTCTGCTGCTGCTGCTGCTGCCTCTGCTGCTGCCGCCGCTGATGCTGCTGCTGCCGCTGATCATGCTGCTGCCGCTGATGCTGCTGCTGCTGCTGCCAATGATGCTGCTACTGCTGCCGCTGAAGCTGCTGCTACTGCCGCTGATGCTGCTGCTGCGGCTGATGCTGCTGCTGTCGCTGATGCTGCTGCTGCCGCTGATGCTGCTGCTGCCGCTGCTGACGCTGCTTCTGCCGCTGATGCTGTTGCTGTCGCTGCTGATGCTGCTGCCGCTGATGCTGCTGCCGCTGCTAATGCTGCTGTTGCCACTGATGCCGCTGCTGCCGCTCATGCCTCTGCTGCCGCTGATGCCGCTGCTGCCGCTGATGCTACTGCTACTGCTAATTCTGTTGCTGCCGCTGATGCAGCTGCTGCAGCTGATGCTGCTGCTGCCGCTGCTGATGCTGCTGCTGCCGCTGATGCTGCTACTGCTGCCGCTGTTGATGCTGCTGCTGCCGCTGCTGCTGCTGCTGCTGCCGCTGCTGCTGCTGCTGCCACTGATGCTGCTGCCGATGCTGATGCTGCTGCTGCCGCTGCTGATGCTGCTGCTGCTGCTGTTGATGCTGCTGCCGCTGCTGATGCTGCTGCTGCCGCTGCCGCAGCTGCTGCCGCTGCCGCTGCTGATGCTTCTGCTGCCGCTGATGCTGCTGCTGCCGGTGCTGCTGCTGCTGATGCTGCTGCTGCCACTGCTAATGCTTCTGTCGCTGCTGATGCTGCTCCTGCCGTTGATACTGCTGCTGCCGCTGCTGATGCTGCTGCTGCCGCTGCTAATGCTTCTGTTGCTGCTGCTGCCGCTGCTGATGCTTCTGCTGCCGCTGATGCTGCTGCTGCCGCTGCTGATGCTGCTGCTGCCGCTGATGTCGCTGCTGCCACTGATGCCGCTGCTGCCGCTGATGCCGCTGCTGCCGCTGATGATGCTGCTGCCGCTGTTGATGATGCTGCCGTTGCTGATGCCGCTGCTGCCGCTGATGCCGCTGCTTATGCTGCTGCCGCTGTTGATGATGCTGCCGTTGCTGATGCCGCTGCTGCCGCTGCTGCTGCTGATGCCGCTGCTGCCGCTGATGCCGCTGCTGCCGCTGATGCCGCTGCTGCTGATGATGCTGCTGCTGCCGCTGATGCTGCTGCTGTCACTGATGCTGCTGCAGCCGCTGATGCTGCTGCTGCGGCTGATGCTGCTGCTGCCGCCGCTGATGTTTTTGCTGCCGCTAATGCCGCTGCTGCTGCTAATGCCGCTGCTGCCGCTGATGCCGCTCCTGCCGCTGATGCCGCTGCTGCCGCTGATGCCGCTGCTGCCGCTGATGCCGCTGCTGCCACTGATGCCGCTGCTGCTGCTGATGCCGCTGATGCCGCTGCTGCCTCTGATGCCGCTGCTGCCGCTGATGCCGCTGCTGCCGCTGATGCTGCTGCTGCCGCTGATGCCGCTGCAGCTGCTGATGCTGCTGCTGCTGCTGCTGATGCTGCTGCTGCCGCCGCTGATGCTGCTGCTGCCGATGATGCTGCTGCTGCCACTAATGCCGCTGCTGCGGCTGATGCCGCTGCTGCCGCTGATGCTGCTGCTGCCGCTGATGCCACTGCTGCCGCTGATGCCGCCGCTGCCGCTGATGCCGCTGCTGCCGCTGATGCCGCTGCTGCCGCTGATGCTGCTGCTGCCGCTGATGCTGCTGCTGCCGCCGCTGATGCTGCTGCAGCCGCTGATGCTGCTGCTGCCGCCGCTGATGTTGCTGCTGCCGATGATGCTGCTGCTACTGCTGATGCTGCTGCTGGTGCCGCTCATGCTGCTGCTGCTGCGGCTGATGCTGCTGCTGCCGCCGCTCATGCTGCTGCTGCGGCTGATGCTGCTGCTGCCACCGCTGATGCTGCTGCTGCCGCTGATGCTGCCGGTGTCGCTGATGCTGCTGCCGCCGCTGATGCTGCTGCTGCCGCCACTGATGCTGCTGCTGCCGATGATGCTGCAGCTGCCGCTGATGCTGCTGCTGCTGATGCTGCTGCTGCTACTTTCTCTGCTGATAAAGCAGCTGCCGCAACTCAAAGTTCTGCTCAAGAGCAAGAGAGGTTGCGGCTGGTTGAGAGGAAGGGCAAGCGGAAGTGGACGGATGAAGATAGAGGAGTGGAAGGGAGGGCAGGGAATCCTGCTGCTGGCCCATCCTCCCTGTCTGCCACTCCTACTGCTGCCTCATCTCCCTCTCCAGCTGCTGCCTCGTCTCCCTTTCCAGCTGCTGCCCCATCGCCTTCCACACCTGCTGCTGGCCTGTCTTCCCTCTCTGCCACTCCTGCTGCTGCCTCATCTCCCTCTCCAGCTGCTGCCCCGTCTTCACATGGTGGTATGGGGAGAAAGAGGAGGGGATCTGTGAGAGCCTTTACAGACATTCCCCTTGGTGCTGAGGTCACTTGTGAGGCACCTCAAAAGAGAAACAGAAGGGGCTCTGTGGGACCCTTTAGTGGTCACTTTGCATTCCCCTTGGTGCTGAGGTGATCACTCTGTCAGACGATGAGGGGGAGGCTGGGAAGGGTGTGTGTGGTGAGACACGGGGGCGGTCTGAAGGGGGAGAGGAGGAAAGGAACAAGCGGAGTGGCGAGGGAGAGGATGTGATAGAGGGGGGGAAGGATGTGGTAGAGGGGGGAAAGGATGGAGAGAAACATGTTGGGATGGAAGTGGAGGAGCAGTGTGGAGGAAATGTGAACGTGGGCTGGTCAGGTGAGAGTGGGAGTGAGGAGGTAGACGTGACGGGAGACACAGAGGTGGAGAGCTTAGTGGAGGAGAAAGGGATGGGAGAAGTGGAGACAGCGGAGGAGCAGGAGGATATGGAAAAGCGAGAAGTGAAGACATACGAGGAGAACGAAGAGGAAGAAGTGGAGATAGACGAGGAGCGGGGGCAGGAGGAGGAGAAGGAAGAGGGAGAGGTGGAGGCAGAGGAGGAGGAGGAGGAGGAGGAGGAGGAGGAGGAGGAGGAGGAGGAGGAGGAGGAGGAGGAGGAGGAGGAGGAGGAGGAGGAGGAGGAGGAGGAGGAGGAGGAGGAGGAGAAAGAGGAGCAAGAGGAGGAGAAGGAAGAAGGAGAGGTGGAGACAAATGAGGAAGAGCAGGAGGAGGAGAAAGATGGAGAAGTGGAGATACTATTATAAGATGGCCAGCCATCCAGTCTCATTGTATGTAGCCACTTGCTATATGATAACAAGGTTTTGCTTCAAACCTTCTTGACATGCCATCACATTGGTTTTCATTAAGTGTGTTTGGTTTCCTTTATCAAAGCTCAAATAGCTCCTCGTGATTCTTTCATGTTATTGGAGCCCAAGCCTAAATAACCCAAGCATTATGATAACCCTCACCCAAATTAGCCCTCATTCCCTATGGCTCTGCTCACTCTGTCCACAACAAGGCATGGGATCCTATCGTTGGAATACCGTCATCGTCTGGTTATGTCAGAATTTTTTTCGGGGCCTCAGATTTCAGCGAAAAAATTGTCGGGTCCGCGTCCAAGTATTACCATATATACAGTACCCCCCACCCCACCATCAAGAATAAAAAAACATGTCCATATGGAAAGACTCGGGTCCAGGTCTAGGTATTATATTCGGGTGATACAGTAAACACATGCAGTGGGGTATATAGAGAGGGAACTGGCCAGCAAGATGCTTAAGCCTCACTGACATGGTTAATGTGGCATACCGTCCTGTTTAACTCGAACAAATCTGTGCGGGGTCATGTGGTGTTTCTCATTAGTATTAGAGTTCTCATTAGTATTGGGGTACTCTGTACTGACAATTAGCATGGCCTATAACGCAGCCATGTGCTACTCTATCTTGACAGTCTTTGGCCGGCGAGGCTTGTAAACCATTGACAGAATAATCAGGAGAATCGGGATAACAGTACCACAATAGTACATGCCGCTATACGCTGAGTATGCACCCGATAGTGTTATCACCTGCACCATGAACAGCCATAGCAAACACAGTCAGAAGAGAGCGGCAATGTGCATAAAAGGGTGGGCCAACAGAGAGGCATTGAAGCTCGGACTGAAATTAACAACCCCAGCACCAAGATTTAGGGTTGAGTCCATGAAAACGAAAGAAAGAACAAAAGAAGAAGAAAAGAAAAGCAAAGTATGCACACTTACGGCGAAGGGGCTGGCCATGCAGGTTGTGATGAAGATGCAATAGAGGGTATGAAGAAGCGCCACAATGCGGTGGGTGATGGTGCCCTTGGGAACTCCTGCAGTGAGCTGGTAGATGGCTGCATGGGAGGAAAGAGAAATGAAGGGAAGGGGAGCAGGGATAGGTTTGAGAGGGATGAATTAGAGCGCAAGTTTGCAGGAACTGGTGAGCGAGCCCGAGTAACAGGTTATAATCCCATGGTGGAGAAAAGGGAATGGGGAATGGGTAGAGATTTGGGTATGGAATGGTGGTGCGAGTGGTAGTGCGAATGGGAATGGGAAATGGATATAGCAAGGGGAATGGGAATGGGAAATGGATATGGCAAGGGAAATGGGAATGGGAACTGGATATGGCAAGGGGGATGGGAATGCACAGTAGAGTCGGATGGGTACGGAAAAGAAATCAGTCACAAGTGCAGCAGATTGCGAGATTGTAGTGGTCTTCATTTCTTTTCATAAAACAGTCAAGTTCCATTGAAATATAATTTATATGTATATTATATGGGGTGTGTGTACACACCTTTAGAGCTGGCAACAGCAAGCGGCCAATGGGCAAAGGCGATGAAGTCACCACCATTCAAGCCCTGCGGGTAACACGGAGTGGGGGATTGGAAAAAAGCACGCGGTCGGGAGATTGTGGAGCCATATGCACACGTGCATATGACTCTGCGTGCATATGACTCTGCGTGCATATGACTCTGCGTGCATATGACTCTGCGTGCATATGACTCTGCGTGCATATGACTCTGCGTGCATATGACTCTGCGTGCATATGACTCTGCGTGCATATGACTCTGCGTGCATATGACTCTGCGCGCATATGACTCTGCGTGCATATGACTCTGCGTGCATATGACTCTGCGTGCATATGACTCTGCGTGCATATGACTCTGCGTGCATATATGCCTCTGCGTGCATATATGCCTCTGTGTGCATATATGCCTCTGCGTGCATATATGGCTATGCGTGCATATATGGCTCTGTGTGCATATATGCCTCTGCGTGCATATGGCTCTGCGTGCATATGACTCTGCGTGCATATGACTCTGCGTGCATATGACTCTGCGTGCATATATGGCTCTGCGTGCATATATGGCTCTGCGTGCATATATGGCTCTGCGTGCATATATGGCTCTGCGTGCATATATGGCTCTGCGTGCATATATGGCTCTGCGTGCATATATGGCTCTGCGTGCATATATGGCTCTGCGTGCATATATGGCTCTGCGTGCATATATGGCTCTGCGTGCATATATGGCTCTGCGTGCATATATGGCTCTGCGTGCATATATGGCTCTGCGTGCATAGATGGCTATGCGTGCATATATGGCTCTGCGTGCATATATGACTCTGCGTGCATATATGGCTCTGCGTGCATATATGGCTCTGCGTGCATATATGGCTCTGCGTGCATATATGGCTCTGCGTGCATATATGGCTCTGCGTGCATATATGGCTCTGCGTGCATATATGGCTCTGCGTGCATATATGGCTCTGCGTGCATATATGGCTCTGCGTGCATATATGGCTATGCGTGCATATATGGCTCTGCGTGCATATATGGCTCTGCGTGCATATATGGCTCTGCGTGCATATATGGCTCTGCGTGCATATATGGCTCTGCGTGCATATATGGCTCTGCGTGCATATATGGCTCTGCGTGCATATATGGCTCTGCGTGCATATATGGCTCTGCGTGCATATATGGCTCTGCGTGCATATATGGCTCTGCGTGCATATATGGCTCTGCGTGCATATATGGCTCTGCGTGCATATATGGCTATGCGTGCATATATGGCTCTGCGTGCATGTATGGCTCTGCGTGCATATATGGCTCTGCGTGCATATATGGCTCTGCGTGCATATATGGCTCTGCGTGCATATATGGCTCTGCGTGCATGTATGGCTATGCGTGCATATATGGCTCTGCGTGCATAGGGTAGGAGGTCCTCTGCTCTCTCATCCGGGAATGAGAAGCTTGCCCTAGTGGAACCAAGGCCTAGTGGAACCAAGGCTATAACTTGGGAGAGAGAAGAATGGAGCCGGGTAACGGAGAACGCACATGGGAGGCCGCGCTGACGAAGATGGTGGCGAGCATGTGGAAGTAGGTGGGCCTCCTGCCGGGCGGCACCATGCGGTTGTACACGTCTGTGCAGGGCGCAGGTGAGCAGGAGTGAGCAGGGGTGAGCAGGGGTGAGCAGGGTGGGTGGAAAGAATTAACTTCTTGAGAATTCTCAAAGCTGACTTCCTGCCGGGCGGCACCATGCGGTTGTACACGTCTGCGCGGGGGGGGCAGGTGAGCAGGGGTGGCCAGGGGTGACCAGGGGTGACCAGGGGTGACCAGGGGTGACCAGGGGTGACCAGGGGTGACCAGGGGTGACCAGGGGTGACCAGGGGTGACCAGGGGTGACCAGGGGTGACCAGGGGTGGGTGGATTGGAATCACTTTTTGAGAATTCTCAAAGGTGGCTTCCTGCAGGGCGGCACCATGCGGTTGTACACGTTTGTGCCCAGGGGGGGGCAGGGGGGACCAGGGGTGACCAGGCGTGGGTGGATAGAAATAGACGTGACTTCCTGCCGGGCGGCACCATGCGGTTGTACACGTTTGTGCGGGGCACAGGTAGCAAGGGGTGGACGGATGGCAGGCAGTCACGAGGGAGCAGCGGACTCCCTCGGACACGCACGGCACGACGCATGATGCAATGAAGCAGTGAAGCAGAGAAGCAGTGACGCAGTGAAAAGGTGAAGCAGTGGAAAAGTGAAGCAGCGAAAAAGTGAAGCTGTGAAAAGGTGAAGCAGTGAAAAGGTGAAGCAGTGAAAGGGTGAAGCAGTGAAAAGGTGAAGCAGTGAGAAGGTGAAGCAGTGAGAAGGTGAAGCAGTGAGAAGGTGAAGCAGTGACGCATGGTGAAGTGTGAGGCAAGCATGATACGTGAAGCATGACGCTGAAGCATGGAGCATGAAGCGTGTGTATGCCAGCCACTGAGGAAAGGACTAGAATGCACACGAACGGGAAACGCTTGATGTTCAAACTCGCAAAGGTCCTGGAACGGTACAGGCAGGTCCATCCAGAGAGGTGCATGGAGCCACAGAGTGGTTCAAAGAGATTCAGGGAGGTCGAGAGGTGGAGGTGCAGCGCGGCGTGGACTCACAGAGCCTGAGCCAGAGACCGTAGGAGATGCTCCACGTGGTGGCGAGAGGAGCAAAGTGGTTCAGAGAGATTCAGAGAGGTCAGGTTTCGATACAGTGCGGTGCAGTGACTCACAGAGCCTGAGCCAGAGGCCGTAGGAGATGTTCCACGTGGCGGCATAGTCAAGGCAGCTCTTGGGGGGTAGGGTGGCGCACATGGGAGGTGCAGTGCGGTGCAGTGCGGTGCAGCGCGGTGCGGTGCAGTGACTCACACAGCCTGAGCCAGAGCCCATAGGAGATGTTCCAGGTGGTGGCATAGTCGAGGCAGCTGTTGGGAAACTCGACCCCCAGTATGTCCGCGTTGCGAGCCCGGTCCCACTGTGCCCGCCCCTCCCCTGCAGGCGCCGCACACGCCTTACCACCCTCCTGCTTCCCCGCATCCCCATCACCACCGCACTTCCCATTGACCTTCGGCCCCTCTGATTCCCCCCCATTCAACTTCACGTCCCCACCCTTCCCAGCGTCCCCGCCCTTCCCCGCCCCCCCCTTGGGGATCTCCCAGCCGCTGAAGCCGAGCCCACCAGCGACCATGGCAGCCTCGGTGATGCTCCAGAGGATGTAGGCGCGGAAGCGCCACACAATGCTGACGTGGTACATGAACAGCCAGCGCAGGTGGAGGGGGTACGCGCGGTTCTTGTGGCGGTCGCTGATGCAAGAGAGGTCGAGCGAGGGGGAGACGAGGAGGAAGACGAGCGCTGCGAGCACGCCCTGGGTGAACGCGCGGAGGAATGGCGGGAGGATGGGCGGCTGCTTGACACCCGCGGACCAGATCTGCAGGTGGTGAGGACGGAAGGGGATGGGCGGGAGGAAACGCGCAGAGTGGTGAGGCTCGGGGCGACGAGGGCTTGAATGACAGAAGGATGGTGGAAGGACGGCCAGCTGCTTGAGCGGGAAGGTCCATATGTGTACGGTGACTGTTGCTCCAACCATAAGTCTGGAAAAAATCATCAGTGGCAAAAACTGCCAGCAACAAGTATCGAACCCGCGTCTTCTAGAAGCATAATATTCTACATTATTTGGGATTCAGGTTAAAGCCAGCAGGCAAAATAGTGACCCCCGTCCCAACTTGAAAGAGTGTTGCGAAGCGAGTTTGTTCGAAAGAGAAGCGAGAACAGAACCAGGCTGAAAGCAAATGTTTCAAACGAATCTTGTAGGCAGATTGGACTCACCTAAGGACGTGGTAAAAGTGCTCGATCGGGAAAGTATCGATCCGGTCACCGCACTGAAACCCCGCTTTTTGCATACGAAAGGTACACAACTGTTTACAACCGCACTAAAAAACGAACCTGAGGCGATCAATTCTCCACTTTCACCGCGTCTAATTGACTCCCGCCAAAACAAATGTTTGCCGCTCATGCAAGAAATTGGATCTCTACACCCGCACGACGGCTGCATGGCGATCGCTTTGATCGTGAGCAATGGTTTCTTGTTGTTGGGCCCAACTTCAGGTTCTAGTTAGGACTGGGTTCACTACTCACCAGTTTACTAGCTAGTTTCCGCTCCCTAAGTCCTAGTTTTCTGCCTAACATACCGTAGAATAGCTGAGAACCTAAGCGGTTTTTGCATAAGCACGTAGTTATTGATTTTGTGCAGATGCATATTAGATTCGTGAGCTATTAGCTCAGTGCACATCGCGCGACACGCAATCGTAGCGGGCCCCGTCACTGTCGGCCCATCTCGCTTTTCGCTCGCCGCTGAACACTTCCCGTCACCATCGCCCTCCATTTCTTCTATCTCCCCAAGCGTCACCCCCCTCGTCGCCCTCGCGATCCCCCCTAGTCACCCTCCAGATTGCCCTTCGGCTCGTTCTCCCTGTCGCCGTCCTTCTCGCCATCATTGCGTCACGCACCCTGCCTCCCTTCCTATCACTGCCTCCCTGCACCCACATGGTCGCCCTTTCTCACTCCCCTCCCGTCGCCCTCCCGTCGCCCTCCCGTCGCCCTCCCGTCGCCCTCCCGTCGCCCTCCCGTCGCCCTCCCGTCGCCCTCCCGTCACCCTCCCGTCGCCCTCTCGCCGTCCGCCCTGACGCCCGTCGTCTGTCCCGTCTCTCCCGCGATTGCACTCGTGGTCACCCTCTCATCGCCCTCGAGATCACACTCGCCAGTCGCCTTCTCGTCCACTTCCCGTCCCCTCGCCCTTGCTCTCTCCCCTCCCTTTCCGTCGCCCTTGCTCTCTCCCCTCCCTTTCCGTCGCCCTTGCTCTCTCCCCTCCCTTCCCGTCGCCCTTGCTCTCTCCCCTCCCTTTCCGTCGCACTTGCTCTCTCTCTCCCCTCCCTTCCCGTCGCCCTTGCTCTCTCCCTTCCCGTCGCCCTTGCTCTCTCCCCTCCCTTTCCGTCGCCCTTGCTCTCTCCCCTCCCTTCCCGTCGCACTTGCTCTCTCCCCTCCCTTCCCGTCGCCCTTGCTCTCTCCCCTCCCTTCCCGTCGCCCTTCCTCTCTCCCCTCCCTTCCCGTCGCCCTTGCTCTCTCCCCTCCCTTCCCGTCGCCCTTGCTCTCTCCCCTCCCTTCCCGTCGCCCTTGCTCTCTCCCCGCCCTTCCCGTCGCCCTTGCTCTCTCCCCTCCCTTCCCGTCGCCCTTGCTCTCTCCCCTCCCTTCCCGTCGCCCTTGCTCTCTCCCCGCCCTTCCCGTCGCCCTTGCTCTCTCCCCTCCCTTCCCGTCGCCCTTGCTCTCTCCCCGCCCTTCCCGTCGCCCTTGCTCTCTCCCCGCCCTTCCCGTCGCCCTTGCTCTCTCCCCTCCCTTCCCGTCGCCCTTGCTCTCTCCCTTCCCGTCGCCCTTGCTCTCTCCCCTCCCTTTCCGTCGCCCTTGCTCTCTCCCCTCCCTTTCCGTCGCACTTGCTCTCTCCCCTCCCTTCCCGTCGCCCTTGCTCTCTCCCCTCCCTTCCCGTCGCCCTTCCTCTCTCCCCTCCCTTCCCGTCGCCCTTGCTCTCTCCCCTCCCTTCCCGTCGCCCTTGCTCTCTCCCCGCCCTTCCCGTCGCCCTTGCTCTCTCCCCTCCCTTTCCGTCGCCCTTGCTCTCTCCCCTCCCTTCCCGTCGCCCTTGCTCTCTCCCCTCCCTTTCCGTCGCCCTTGCTCTCTCCCCGCCCTTCCCGTCGCCCTTGCTCTCTCCCCTCCCTTCCCGTCGCCCTTCCTCTCTCCCCTCCCTTCCCGTCGCCCTTGCTCTCTCCCCTCCCTTCCCGTCGCCCTTGCTCTCTCCCCTCCCTTCCCGTCGCCCTTCCTCTCTCCCCTCCCTTCCCGTCGCCCTTGCTCTCTCCCCTCCCTTCCCGTCGCCCTTGCTCTCTCCCCGCCCTTCCCGTCGCCCTTGCTCTCTCCCCTCCCTTTCCGTCGCCCTTGCTCTCTCCCCTCCCTTCCCGTCGCCCTTGCTCTCTCCCCTCCCTTTCCGTCGCCCTTGCTCTCTCCCCTCCCTTCCCGTCGCCCTTGCTCTCTCCCCTCCCTTCCCGTCGCCCTTCCTCTCTCCCCTCCCTTCCCGTCGCCCTTCCTCTCTCCCCTCCCTTCCCGTCGCCCTTGCTCTCTCCCCGCCCTTCCCGCCGCCCCTGATGCAGTCGTCGTGCCTCCTGTCTCTCCTCCCAACACCCACCCCTTCGCCTTGGCGCTCGCACCGAAACGCCCTCTCATCCCCCGTCCCAATTTCTCCTCCCATCGCCCACCACATCGCCTTTTCTCTTGCTATGAAACGGCCTCTCCGCGCCCTTCCTCCCTTCCCTCCCATCACCCGACCTCTTTCCGCGATTTTGCACACTTATCTCTCTCCTAACGCCCTCGTTTCCGTCGCCCTGTCTCTTTCTTCACTGTTCACCTTGCTAACTCTCTGTTCTTCCCCTCCTTTTGTTCCTTGTATGCTGTTTTTGCCGCCATAGCAGGTTATTTTCAGCGGCGTTTTGCTGTCCGAGAATTGCACATCTGTGAAATTGGCACTACATGTGAATGGGACTTGCGTGTCGCAAACTTGCGACACATTTACAGTGCACATGCTTGCGACACTTTTTATTGGATAAAATCTGTGAAGACTCTACACTTCAAGTATCAAACGCCTTTGACAAAAAAAAAAAACAGAACAGCACCCAACCCTCAATTGGACCCCCAACTAGAAGGGGGGGTTCACAATTCAAGCTGCGGGCTTCAAACCCCGCAGCCCAAATTGCGGAGCGCACAGGGTAAGATTACTAATCTTGCACGCTTGGTGTTTTGGGTGCTGTATGTTGGCGAATTATTGGTTACTGATCGTGCGAAGCAATTAGATTGGTGAAAGGATGGCGGAAGGACGGACGGCTGCTTGAGCGTGAAGGTCCAGATGTGTACGGTACGGTGAGGAGAGGCGATCAGTGGAGAAGAGAGGCGATCAGTGGAGAGGGGGATACAAGGGAAGTGTGGCAACGGTGAAGGAACGTACCCCTTGTCGTTGGGTCCAGTGATGGTGGGTGGTGAAGTCGAAGAAGGGGCCCGTCATGTGCAGCCCGAGGCAGAACAGGTACCCCATCACCGCCACCACCGACGGCATCGTAACCAGCGCCGCCTTTCGCCGCTCCAATCGCGAGCGCTCCGTCCGCTCCTCCCGCCGTCTCTGCTCCTCGGTCAATTCCTTCCTCTCCTTCTCGTCCTTGGCTTGCGCGCCTTCGTCCTTCTCCTCCAGCAGCGTGAGCCCGTCCTGGTAGTTATACGCGACAGCGGTGAGCTTTGTAGCGAGGACGGTGAGCGCGCCTGCGCAGTCAAGCACGCCCTCCGTGCGGGTCTCGTGGGTGCGCATGATGACGTGGCTGCAGGAGGTCGGATCGCATCGAACGAGGGAACGGGAAATGTGAACGTTGGTGATTGAGGAGTTTGAAGCGGGCGGAGTCTCGTGGGTGCGCATGATGATGTGGCTGTAGGAGGTCGGTCGGATCGCATCATTGATTCGATCATCATTGAACGAGGGAAATGCACGTAAGAAACGGAATATGTGAACGGGAAATGCGGAGACGGAGGGATGGTTGCATGAAGGGAGAGGATGCAAAGAAAGGGAAGGCGCTTTGCGTTTGCACCAAAGGCTGCTACCGTCCTGATCTTGCGGCTTGACTTGTGATTCCAAAACCAAAGAATCACCAAGAAGTAGAGAACGACGAGATGGGGAACTTACCAACCAATCAAGTACGCGAACGTTCCGAAGAACGTTAGGACGCCGCAGTGTCTTCGAAACAGACGCATTACGGCCATGGAGTAGAGCACGCAAAGGAAGAAATGCGCGTTCGCCGACCATCCGAACACGAACGCTGATAGAAGCAGTCCCGTTACTGTGCAGTACAGGTGGCGGAGTGTAGGCGATGATATGAATCTGTGAAGCCACGCGATCGGGACGATAGCGAAGCTAGCGAGCAGGAAAGTCGCGGCTGGACGGGGCGTGCCGATAAGGTCCGCGAAAGCCTGAACGGGATCCATGGCGGACCCCATGGCAGATCCCACGGCGGACCCCAACACAAGGAAAAATTGTGGGCCGACGCGGAGGCGCACGGCGGGGCGAGGCTGTTCTCGCTCCTCGAATACCGCTTAATGGTGTTCTCGCTCCTCGAATACCGCTTAATGGTGTTCTACTAGTAGTCAACGTACTACCCCCTCGTCCATTTCATATCTATTCTTTATGCAAGCAATAAGATATTCAGGAGGTAAGAGAAACACGAACTTTGTCAGGCTCCGACCGGCCTTCAGCACCATGCTTCCACCTGTGCAAGTGGATTACCGAAGCCTAGGAACTAACTCGGCAACTTAGGGCGTGGGCCCAAACGGGTTTGATCGCCTCGATCAGCCACGATCAATACTTTCCAGGAAGCCTGGAGGCCAAATTCAGGCAATCAGGGGCAATCAGCTGATCGCGATCAGCTGATCGCCCCAACTCGATCAGACCCAATTTACCCCCCGATCATAGTCGACTCTCTTCGATCACCCACGATCAATTGATCGTGGGTGATCGGGGACCACAGCGATACTGACGAAAAGTTACACTGTATTACAAGGATTCGTCAACCCCTCACGAAGATGTCCAGCCTATACAGAACACCCTGGAAAGTTACACTATTACTTGGATACAGAGAGTTTCGCCAGAAGCCGTCTGGTCGCCAGTCTCGCTAAGACTGCCACGAAAATACCAGGTAATTGAATCCCGCTTGCTGAGCAGCCAAGAAGAATCTTTTAAGAAAAACATTACTGATCGGGCGGCTCGGGCATTGCGATCACAAGCAACCCGATCAGATCCGCCCCGATCAGATCAGTCGCGATCAAACCCGTTTGGGCCCACGCCCTTAGCCAACTCGGCCACCTCGGCAAGATGGGGTTGGGTTGACCTTTTGAGGTAAAAAGGTCAACTCTTTTGAGTCGACTCATACAGATGATGCTCGTTTGAGTAGACAACTGCCTTGTGAAAGGGGGCTTATAAGTGATTCTGTGCATTTCGCCACCTTTGTCAACGTCGCAGCTAGCAAAAAAGTGCTTATAAATTCCTCAAATGTTACACGCTGACAGCTGACGTCGGTCTCTTCATTACCATTAGTTCATCACAATTGCATTGACAGTTGACTTCGGTCAGTATTCGTTACCATTGGTTAATCGTCACTGCAACTTGCTCGAGGGGCCGGTAAACTGGGTGCAACTGGCTGGCCCCAAAAACGCACGTGCAGACTTTCTGGCGCGTGCAGGGCAAATTCGTGCGCAGGGGTGAAGCATCACCTGTAAGTTGGGTTGGGTTGGGATGGGATGGGACTGTATATGTTCGCAATGGGACGTGTCCCTTCGACCCCGATCCTGCCATCGACCGTGCAAAATTGATACTCCACCGCACTGAATTTCAGCATTAAGTATTTTTAACTGTGCAAACATTTTATGAACATCCAAGCGCAATTCGGTCGTTAGAGCCGATTTGCCTGGGTCAACGAGACGGGTCGTCGGGCCCAGGGCTATCGAGGCGGGGAACTGACGTGCGTGCGGGCACGCCAGCCTGGCCAAGGGCTGGGCCAAGCGCACGTCCGCCGCCCCGCAACCCCGCTCCGAGATTGAATAGCGCCCCGCGTTACCGGGTGGGGGCGGCGAACTGGCGACCCCTCGCACGAGGGAAAGTAACCCTAGGGCGAAGGCAGCCCACCCGTCCCTCCTGCCCGCGAAGTCCTAGTAACCCTCGCGACCTGTCCGGCCGGGCAGGGGAGGGCCATGCGAAATTCAGGTGCTCCCCTCAGGACACTCGACCGTTTCGCGACCCGATGCGGTGACGACACGTGTTCGTCCGTGGGTTCGCATCGCTCGCATGCGAAATTTCGTACTCGGCGAAATCCGAGTGATCGCCTTGTGACGCACGAAGATTTCGCGATCTGCTACGAAATCGACACCTGTCGCCCGAAACGACGCACCGCGCGCATGCGAAATTGCGCCACCTGGCCGAATGAAGCCAGAGGACGTGACGTCGACTTGCTGGCTCGGCGGCGACAGCGCACTTGTGCCACTTGTGTGCATGCGGCCTCCAGCTCCTGCCAAGCCAAGCCCCACACCCGTGGGGCGATGCCCAACTGGCCTGTGGAAGGTGGCTTCACGCCTCATTTTCGGCATCTCGTTTCGCTTCCAACCCTTCCTAGTTCTGCGCCTTCTGTTTTCCATCTTATCATCCCTTAGTCGTTCGCTTCTTCCTTTAGCCGTAATGGAGCCCAACCCTGACGCCGATAAATCGGCGCCGACTTCGCATGATTTTCCCCTCCAACACCGAATGGGTCGCGGTATCAGCTTCACTTTCGAGTGGGACGACTTCGCCGTCCAGCAGGACCACATGAACGACCGCTGCTTGGGATTCGGCATCAAGTGAGACTCGCGTAGTCACGTAGGTAGATGTCGGCATCGACCAAACGTTGCGGTCACGTCCGACTTTTATATTTTAGGGTAGGGTTATCATGGAGGTCGAATGCGCCGACTTACAGTCGCACGTTAGGGGAGCGAATGGTCTCTGGTTATCGATAGACATAAGTCGGCGTAAGCGGTTTCGTCATCGGCGTAGTAGGTATGGACCCTAGACAAGAAATTGATCGGCGTATTATGCATAGACCGCGTAAAGGCAGTAGGGGTTTAGAAAGAAACCGAGCTCGTGCTTGTCGCGCATCGTCTTATCGCTAGGCGGCGTTAACCCTTCGAAAAGAGCCCCTTTCGGTCGACATCGACATGGTCGCGTGGCAACCGTTCACATCCCCTTTGTGCCCGTTCATACGTGCAGGTTCACTTGGTTGCGCATATCGCCGGACGACCAGCGGGTGTGATTGATAGGAGTCGGCCCGCTGCGCGCGGCCATGAAAAACGCCGACCATTCTTGCTTTGCGGCGGTTTACGATGCCGATATCGCCGTTATCCCCTCGAGATCGACATGAGTGGGTTCTGCCTTCTCCAGTTGTTTCATGCCATTGTCGACTATCGGTTGTGATCGACGTCGGCGTGCATTGCCATGTGCAGCATCGGTCCGCTTCCAGGAACACAATGTAGCGTCGTAGCCATCCTCTACCTCGGAGATCTGTTGAAGGCCGAGGGACAGGAGTGCAGGACCTCTATCCAGCACATCGACCAGCAGACTTTTAAGGTGTGGCACCGTGACGATGCCGTCCACGTGCTGAGGTGATTTGTGAATTGTCATCGATGACACGCGTGTTTGTCGCCGACAAAGGATATCACATGCTGACCACCTCTCTCTATCACCTTGCTTCATGTCTTTTCGCACGGCTGTCCTGGCTGAGCTGGGGCGTCTTGGTAGGACATGAAAGTGGGCGCCGCCTTCCCAAGGAGTGGTGGAGGACAGGCTCGCTGGCTGCGACATCCTATTTGCGATGTGAGTTGGAAAACGCACATAAGACTCGTTTAGGGTATAGGGCTTCACGATGATTGTCTCGTTACAATGCGCGCATGCCTATGTTGTATGCAGAAAGTGCCAGACAGCGTTACGGACGGGCATGTGGGCTCCGGCATGCTTGCCGCGACTTCGTTTGAATGGGTGGCGAAAAGGATCGACCTGCTGACGGGCGACAAGGGCCGTGGTGGGGTGAGCATTGAAAACATAAAAACAACGGGGTTGTAGTCACTGCGGAATGCAATGGTGGACTACATCACCGAACGCATTGCCGACAAACGGTCTGCAGCGCCGACGTCTCAATCTGTCGGAGTTGTCGACATTACCTTTGACGACGACGGCGCGGAACCATAAACGGCATCCCAAGCAACAGATGCCACCCAACTTCACGCGGGCACAGATGTTTCTACGCAACGATGGCATGGAGGTGACAATGGCGACGCAGAGGCGGGTGCAGGAAAGGGTGGGACTGGTACTGACCAGGAAGAGGAGGGGGAGGAGGAGGATGAGGAGGATGAGAAGGAGGAAGAGGAAGAGAAGGAGGAGGAGGGTTCGTCGGAAGACGAGGAGGAGGAGGAGGAGGAGGAGGAGGAGGAGGAGGAGGAGGAGGAGGAGGAGGAGGAGGAGGGGGGGGAGGAGGAGGAGGAGGAGGAGGAGGAGGAGGAGGAGGAGGAGGAGGAGGAGGAGGAGGAGAAGGAGGAGGAAAAGGAGGAGGCGGATGAGGAGGAGGATGAGAAGGAGGATGTGGTGGAGTTGGAGTTGGAGGAGTACGAAAAGGTGGTGCAATCACTGATTCTGCCACAGCAATTTCTCATGGCGTTGCAACTGATGATGGTGGTGCCTGTGCTGCTGATGCTTTTGTTATTGGTGACGTGGATGCTGCTGATTATGATGGTGCCGATGGTGCCGATGTTGATGCTTCTGCTGCTGCTGCTGCTGCTGCTGCTGCTGCTACTGCTGTCGAGTTTACTGATCATGCAATCACTGGTTCTGCCACAGCAATCGCTCATGACGTTGCGAATGATGATGATGGGTGTCTGTGCTACTGATGCTGTTGTTATTGGTGCCATGAATGCTGCTAATGATGATGGTGCTGATAGTGCTGATGCTGATGCTGTTGTTGCGGCTGCTGATGCTGCTGCGGATGGTAATGACACTACAGCTCCCTCCCCTTCTGCCGCTCCTTCCCCTTCTGCAGCTCCATCCACTGCTGCAGCTCCCTCCCGTGCTGCAGCTCCCTCCCCTGCTGCAATTGCTACCATACTTGCTGAGGGAGAGAGAGAGGAGAGTGAGGAGGAAGAAGAGATGGGGTTGGCATAAGAAGAGGTAGATGAGGGAGAGGTGCCAGAAGAGGAGGAAGAGGAGTTAGAAGAGGGGGAAGTGGCAGAAGTGGAGGAAGAGAAGGAGGAGGAGGAGGAGGAGGAGGAGGAGGAGGAGGAGGAGGAGGAGGAGGAGGAGGAGGAGGAGAGGAGGAGGAGGAGGAGGAGGAAGAGGAGGAGGAGGAGGAGGAGGAGGAGGAGGAGGAGGAGGAGGAGGAGGAGGAGGAGGAGGAGGAGGAGGAGGATTTAGAGAAAGAGGACGAAGGGGAAGAGGCTGAGGAAGAAGGAGAGGTGAGAGGGGAGGAACAGGAGGAGAAGCAAGAAGAAGCAGGGGATACTGAGGAACGAGAGGTGAGAGAGGATGAACAGGAGGAGAAGTAGGAAAAGGAGTTAGAAGAGGGGGAAGTGGCAGAAGTGGAGGAAGAGAAGGAGGAGGAGGAGGAGGAGGAGGAGGAGGAGGAGGAGGAGGAGGAGGAGGAGGAGGAGGAGGAGGAGGAGGAGGAGGAGGAGGAGGAGCATCTGAAGAAAGAGGACGGAGGGGAAGAGGCTGAGGAAGAAGGAGAGGTGAGAGGGGAGGAACAGGAGGAGAAGCGAAGAAGCAGGGGATACTGAGGAAGGAGAGGTGAGAGAGGATGAACAGGAGGAGAAGCAGGAAGAAGCAGAGGAAATTGACGAGGAAGACGGGGAGGTGAGAGAGGAGCAGGAGAATTGGGAAGAAGGGGAGAAGAGTGAGGAGGGCGGGGATAGTTGGGAGCTTTGCCGAGGGGCCTATGGTGAGAGGAGCGGTGGTGGGAAAGGGACTGGTGGGAGGGGGACAGGCGGGAAAGAGGCTGGTGGGAGGGGGTCTGGTGAGATGGGCGACTGTGGGAGGGAGGTCAGAAAGGGGAGTGGAGGGACGGAGTCCGGTAGGCAACAGCCAAGACCGCAGGGGGATGGGAGGAAACGAAAGACCATGGAGGAGCAGAGACGATGGAAAGCGAGAGCAGGAGATGAGGGGGTAGGGGAAGGTGGAGTTAGGAAAGGGAGAGGAGAGGAAGGGTGAGCTGGTGAAGGGAGAGCAGAGGAAGGGAGAGCTGGTGAAGGGAGAGCAGAGGAAGGGAGAGCTGGTGAAGGGAGAGCAGAGGAAGGGAGAGCTGGTGAAGGGAGGGCAGTACAAGTGAGAGCAACAGAGTGGAGACCAGAAGAAGGGAGAGCAGCAGATTTGAGAGCAGGGGGAGGAAGGGCAGCGGAAGGAGGGGAAGGGGGGTGGAGGCCGTGGCAAAGGCAAAGGAGCAACATGGCATGTAGGCCGCGTTCGTTTCTCAACCTGCAGCCCTGTTCTACACCTTGGTTGGCTGTCGCACCCGCAGTCACATCACCTGCCGCCACACCTCTCGCAACCGCTATTAGAACATCTTCTGTCACTTGTACCATTGCAAGCAATTCACTTCCCCCTGCTGCCAGGCCTGATATTGCACGTCCTACTGCAATATCAGGTGTCGCACCTGCTGCCACCTCTGGAGACCAGCAGACTGCAACGCGTAGAGTGGTACCAAGAGTGCAACAACGCTGCCACACAGCTCACCTTCTTCCAATGTGCCAACCTTCTCTACGCCTCCTGCATCCACCCCTTTTGCATCCATCTTTCTTGCATCCTCGACCCCACCATCTTCCTCAGCAGCCCCCCAAGCGTCCACCCTCTTGCTCTTGACCCGCAAATCCACCACATAATCGACACGATTTCTTCTCCCATGCAGACAACTGGGCGGCAGAATGTTAGTAAATAGCGCGACTGCATGACCATCGATCAGCTGCATGTGTCTGTGGGCAACAAGAACATGTGGCAACCGCATGACTTAGTAATCAATAGCATGAGTCAAGACAAGATTGGATTGTACAGTTGTGATATGATGAGTCAACATGACAGTATTGTGTATTACAGCAGTGCATACACACACTTTCACGTTTTTCATGTTGAAAATTTGCTATCATTTACGCTTGTTTTGTTACCGACCGAAGTTCAACATGCACGAGGTTCCTCCATACAAACTCGTCAAATGGGCGATTATATAGAGAGGGGAACTGGCTACCCTGACGCTTACACTCACTGATATGGTTGCGATGGCATATGGTTGGAGCATTATTGTGCAAGGCCATGTAGTGTTTCTCATTATTATTAAAGCCAGGCCCTCATATTGGTTTGAGGGTATGCTGATGGATCAGCGTGCCCGTGCCAAACAGGTGTCCAAGTCAGCGTTCGTGGTTATGTGTATACTGATTTTGTCAGTGTAAAAAATCATACTAAACTGAAACAGCAGTGTTAAAAAAACCTCTGAGCTGACGCAACAGTGCGTGCGTGCATGCAAGAGTGTTTAAGTGTAAGCACGTCTCATCAATGTGATAGGCTACAGCAGCAGCACTAAAACTGCAGTACTACTAATAACTAACTCATCTCATCGTCAGAATCACTCCCGCCATCACCACCACTGCTGCTGTCACCATCACTCTCACTGTCATCGCCGGCAGAACCATGCATGCCCTCGTCCAGATCCTCCTCCACCTGCAGGACCCGTCGGCCACTCCCCTTAACAAACTTGGCCCGCTCCTTCTCTGGCGCAGCTTGCTCCTTGCGCTTGCTGGGGCGCCTTTTCCTGCCGCTCCTAAAGATGTCCACCACCTTCTCCCACTCCATGTCGTAGTCAAGCAGGCTCATTGCCAACAGATCTCCCAGCTTGGCGTTGCAGAGGCTCGTCCGGCGCCACGACTTGATGACATTCTGGCGGGGAAACCCACGTTCACACTCGACTGTGCTGAGTGGCAGAACAGCGACCGCAGCCCACAAACGGACAAGGTTGGGGTAGCTGGTCTGCCAGTCGCTGGTCTGCAAGATGGCCTTCAAACCTGCATGAAAGGGCTGCTCCTCCTTGGGGGCAGTGGAGAGCACCGGCAAAAACGTGCGCAGCTCAGCGCGTGCTGCATTCTTCTGGGCACCTGCCAAACAGGAAAGCACACCCGGGTAGATCGTCAGACGCACAGATTGAGAAGAAAGTCAACCGGGGAAACGTGCAAGCACACGTGCAGGTCATGGATCTATGACTGCTCACCAGGCAAGATGGTGTCCCGGTTCTTGGCCTGAAAGAGATGCACGAGGCCGCTCAGGTGCTCCTTGCACTCCGCATCTCTTGCCTCGGCGCCCCTCGGCCACGAACGGGGCATGAAGAGCTTCGCCCCGTTCAAGCGCGTCAGGTCCCCCAAGCGCAGCTCGAGGTTGTACACCAGCTCGCGGGCGAATGAGCGGCAGCAGGTGTAACATCCTTGCATGTCCCCGCTGCTGGTGGTGTACCCCTTCACAGATTCCTCGTGCAGCTGAAACTTGTGTACCCGTCGCTGACCCTCCTTGTCCACCCCCTCCATAGTCACTTCACGGCAGTCGGGCAAGGCGTGCCGCGCGAGGAATGCAGACAGCAGCTCGCTGGTCCAACCGCCAAACTGCTGGCCACAGTGCAGGTACCTCTGCTCGATGTAGATGATGGTCCGTCTCACCTGGGAGTGCACTCCAGTGAGGTCAACCTGTTGTTCGGGGGAGGAAGGGAACATCGGAACAAAATATAAGTACAAGGGAGATGAAGAAATCGACAGAGCGTGGCAAAGACAACTCACATGACGTTTCTGGAATAGCAGGTTGAGCGCGTTGAGTGCCGTGTGCACGTCCGCCAGGAAGAACAGGAAGAACTGAAATTTGAACGATGTCACCAGCTGGTACATTGTCGCGTCCGTCTCCTCGAGGAGCACGATCACAGCAGGCAGAACGCGGACGAAACGTGCAATTGCGTCGCCGCGACTTAACCAGCGGACGGAATGGATCCCCTGGACCTCGAGGTTGGTATGAGTGAAGACTTCTTGCAACTCCTTGAACTTGTGGTTGTAGGGCTTAGATCTGCCGAGATCTTCCGCCAGTGAGCGGATAACCGCGTCGATAATGCTCAGCTCCGGTAGTGCCTTAGCCGCATCCTCTGCAGCTAGAGCTTCCCTGCCACGGGCACAACACCACAGTCGGTCGGTAAGTACACTAGAAATAACATTTCAAGTACCGCATATTCAACAGCAAAACGACACCAGCACAGCAACATCTTACATGTGTGCGATGCAGTGAGAGGCCACCACGTGCAGGATCTCCAGCCGAAGACGCCCAACGAGGCCCGTGTCTGCGCCGATCATCACAGGAGCCCCATCGGTGCTGATACCCGCCACCTTCTCCAGCGGCAGACTGATACTGTCAAGAAATCCTTTGAGCACAGCATGAAGAGATGCTGCATCACACTTCTCAATGGTGAGGTTAGCTAGAAACTCAGTAACGACGGCATGCTCACGCAGAAACGTCACAAACAAGATCATGTGCTTCCCTTTGACGCGGTCTGTACTCTCGTCGCAGGTCAGACCAATGAAAGGACTAGAGTCAATGCACTCTCTCTGGCCCGCACGCAGGTATGTCGCTATTGCGGCGGTAATTTCTTCGAAGCCGTACCTGCACGGACATCAACACATTTGGTTAGTAAAAGCTTCAAATAGTACACACTCTGCACCGTTATGAAGTACACCACTCTTACTTACATCGTGTAGTAGGAGCCATAACCGCTCTTTGGGAAGCCGGGCGTGCCACACTGCGCCAGATGTCGGACGAGGTCCACGTACATCTCGATCGGCGCATCGGACTTAGCGAGGAAGAGTGCGGTCTCAAAAAGCGAGATCAGGCGCTCCTTCTCAAGGTCTTTCGCCTTCGGGTTGTCGTCGATCCGGCGGTTAGCCTTGAGCGCTGCCTCGGCTGTCCTCTGTCTGCGCAGAGCTCGGCGGTGCTTCCTTGTGCGCTGATGCTTCCGCATTGCCTGGGTCTGCACATCGGTCGCCCCTTCTCCTTTGGCGCCGAAGTTGGTGCCCACACCACCGTGCGCAATGCAGACCGTGCACTTCATTGACGAGAACCCAAATTTCGTCTGACATAGCACAAGCCACGGGTAGTCGTCAGACCACTGTTTGTTATACATAAATAAGGCTTCCTGATATTTCTCCTCGGCTATGTCGGGCAGTTCTGTTTCAGAAGTCTCCTCAACTGCTTTCCCCTTGAGTTTACGCTGTTGGGCCTTTGGGGAGGAGTTCCCCACACCAGACGTTGGCGTAGCTTCACTGGCACCCCACTGTATCTTCGTCTGGAGGTACTTCACTTTGATACCCCGTTTGAGACGTGGGCCTTTGCGAGTAGTTCCCGCAGCGACAGGATGACGGTTCCGTGTGGGGTCGGAAGCGGCAGGAGTTGAAGCGGCAACGACAGGAGTTGATGCGGCTGCGACAGGAGGTGATGCGGCAGCGGAGACAGGCGTCGAACACTCGCCCTGCGTCCAGATGGTAGGTGCCTCGGGGCCCGAGGAAGGGAGAACAACTGACGGAACTGATGGCGACACTAACGCGGGAGCAGCTGAAGCTCGTCGTAACAGGTCAAGGCCAGTAAGGGCGACTGGCTTCGTGGCAGTGTTGGATTCAGGGCCGTCGCCTGCGGGCGACGAATCCGCCATGGCTGCTCAGCTCTGTCGAGCGTGCCGAGCTTGGGAGGGAAGCTACTCCTGCCTACGCTTGCGCTCCAACGTCACTTCCTGCAAGGGTTCACGACGAGTGCAGGAACAGAATGAGGGAGCAGATGGGGGTACCCCCTTCTCCCAAGCCGCCATGGAGAGGCATCTTGGACCACCCCTGGCTATCTTTCGTGGCAAGATGACGAGACCCCCACCCCACTGCCATCCTGTATGGCGCGTTGGCGTGGACCCTGCCTCCAGTGGTGTGTTGTCTGTGTTCTGATTGGGCAGTCGTGAATCATACTAGAGCTGTTTCGTTGTGATGACTTCCAGCGCGGCAAAACGGTTCGTCGCGCACAAGCTGTAAGTACAGCGCATGTGATAAAATTCCAAGTGTGTGGGTGGGGTGGGGTTTCGTGAATCACGGGAAGGTACAGTCTGTACACGCGTCGCGTACCTCCCCCCCCCCCCCCCCCCCCCCCCACGCGGTCAAGTCTGTTTCAGTGTGACTCACTGAACTATACTGATTCGTCAGTGTAACTTGTACAGAAACACACAAAATGGTCAGTGTGGCAAATGAGGTTATACTGAAATTTCAGTGCAAAATTGAAGCATATGCTGATTTCACAGGGAAAACGAAAATCAGAGCTACAAATTCTGCGTAATCAGCGTGTTTTACGCTGATATCTGAGGGCCTGATTAAAGCTCATAATAGTATTGAGGTTCTCATGCCGATTAGGCAGCCATGTGCTACTCTGTCTTGACAGTCTTTGGGCGGCGAGGCTTGTACACCATTGACAAAACAACTAGGAGAATTGGTATGACAGTACCACAAAAGTACATGCCACTATAGGCTGAGTATGCACCCGACAGTGTCATCACCTGCAACAAGAACAGCCATAGCAAACACAGTCAAACGAGAGTATTAAGGAGTGGGCAGCATAGAGGCATGGTGGCCCATTGTGGAAATTACGGCCCCAGCAGCGAGATTTACTGGAGAGTCCATAAGTAAATAAATAAATAAATAAATAAATAAATAAATAAATAAATAAATAAATAAATAAATAGATAAATAAATAAATAAATAAATAAATAAATAAGGAAAAAATGGTTAAACATGAGCGCTTACACAGAAGGCGCTGGCCATGTAGCTGCAGACGAAGATGCTATAAAGAGTGTGAAGAAGTGCCACAATGCGGTGAGTGATGGTGCCCTTGGGGATTCCAGCTGTGAGCTGGTAGATGGCTGCATGAGAGGGAAGTGAAATGAAGGGAAGGGGAGCAGGGAAGGGATGGAATAGAGAGAGATGAATTTGAGTGCAAGTTTGCAGGAACTGGTGTGCCCAAGTAATAGGTTATGGTCCCATGGTGGAGAAGTGGGAACAGAAAATGGGTATGAGATTAGGATATGGAATAACAGTAGGAGTGGTAGTGCGAATGGGTATGGAAAATGGATACGGCAAGGGGAATGGCAATGCACAGTAGAATTGGATGGGTATGGAAAAGAAACCAGGCTAGGAAGAAGGAATAATAATGGGATGGAAGTACACAAATAAAAATGGAAATGACAAGGGGAAGAAAAAAAAACTTGTGACAAGCGCAGTAGATTGTAGTGGTCTTCAATTTCTGTGCATGCAACAATCAAGCTCCATTGAAGAAAGAACTGGCTGTTTTGGGGTGGGTACACACCTTTGGAGCTGGCAACAACAAGCGCCCAATTGGCAAAGAATATGAAGTCACCCCAATTCAAGCCCTGCAGGTAACACAGAGTGAGGGGTTGGAAAAAGTGCACATGGTCAGGAGATTATGGGGTGCGGGCAGTCTTTGAAACCAACAAATAGAAGGAGACAGAGAGCGTAAGGGAAAGCAGCGATGAATGCATATGGCTCTATGTGCAAGCGGCACATGGAATGGGCTAAAGAAGAATGCACATGGGAGAGGGTAAGAATGAACACACATGGGAGAGATAAGCATGGAACGGGGTAGAGAGAGAATGTGAGAGGGCAAGGGAGCATGTGAGAGAGCAAGGGAGCATCGTGGCGAGCATGTGGAAAAAGGATTTCTTCCTCCCGGGCGGATTTTGAGACGTCTCAAAACCCTACTTTACCGCGTGGAATGAATCGGGGAAAGGGAGGGCGCACATGGGAGACGGCGCTGACGAGCATGGTGGCGAGCATGTGGAAAAAGGATGGCTTCCTGCCGGGTGGCACCATGCGCTCGTACACGTCTGCGCAAGGTGCGGGTGAGCAGGGTGCGGGTGGCCAGGGGGTGAGAATGAGGCATGGAGTATGAAGGCAGGGCGGGTGGGGGGTGGTGAGAATGAAGCATGGTGGCGAGCATGTGGACGAACGAAGGTGGGCTTCCTGCTGGGCGGCACCATGCGCTCGTACACGTCTGCATGGGGAGTCGGTGAGCAGGGGTGGACGGATGGCAGGGAGGATTTCTTAGACGCCTCAAAAATTTCCTTCCGGGCGGCACCATGCGCTCGTACACGTCTGTGCGGGGCGCAGGTGACCAGGGGTGGGCGCGCATGGCAGGGAGTCACGAGGGAGCAGCGGACAAGCACAATGCGCGACACATGAAGCAATGGCGAATGAAGCAATGACGCATGGTAAAGCATAAGGCAAGCATGATACATGAAGCATAGAGCTGAAGCAGGGAGCATGAAGCATGTGTATGCCAGCCAATGAGGAAAGGGCTAGAATTCTGGAACCACATGCGCACGAACGAGAGAAGCGAAAGGTTCAAACTCGCAGAGGCCCTGGAACTATTCAGAAAGGTCCAAAGAGGTGCAAAGAGCCACAGAGCGGTCCAAACAGATCCAGGGAGGTCGAGAGGTGGAGGTGCAGCGCAGCGTGGACTCACAGAGCCTGAGACAGGTGGCTATCGAGTCGAACCAACACTCACAGAGCCTGAGCCAGAGGCCGTTGGAGATGTTTCATGTGGTGATTAGACGACTCTTGAGTCGACCGAAAAGTCATCTCACGACTGACAAAGCCTGAGCCAGGTGACTGTTGAGTCGAACCAAAACTCACAGAGCCTGAGCAAAAGGCCATAGAAGATGTTCCACTTGGTGGCGAGAAAAACAGAGCGGTTCAGAGAGATCCAGAGAGGTCAGATATCGGTACAATGCTGTGCGGACTCACAAAGCCTGAGCCAGAGACCGTAGGAGATGTTCCATTTGGTGGCGAAGTCAAGGCAGCTCTTGGGGAACTCAACCCCCAGTATGTCCACGTTGCGCGCCCGGCTCCACAGCGCCTTCCCCTTCCCTGCAGGCGCCGCACACGTTTTATCCCCCTCCTGCTTCCCTGTATCACCATACCCACCGCCCTCCCCATTCCCCTCCGCCCACTCGGATTCCCCCCCGTTCCCGAACTTCCCCTTCACGCCCCCGCCCTTCCCAGCAACAACGCCAGCCTCCCTCTTGGCGGGGAAGGGCGGGGGCTCTGTGAGTCTGCCAGTGCCAACCCCCGCCTCCCTCTTGGCGGTCTCCCAGCCGCTGAAGCCCAGCCCGGCGACGACCATGGCAGCCTCGGTAATGCTCCAGAGGATGTACGCGCGGGAGCGCCACACGATGCTGGCGTGGTGCGCGAGGAGCCAGCGCAGGTGGACGGGGTAGGCGCGGTTCTTGTGGCGGTCGCTGATGCAAGAGAGGTCGAGCGAGGGGGAGACGAGGAGGAAGACGAGCGCTGCGAGGGCGCCCTGGGTGAATGCGCGGAGGAACGGCGGGAGGACGGGCGGCTGCTTGAGACGCGGGGACCAGATCTGTAAGTGACGAGGAAGGGGATCGGTGGGGGGGGGGGAGGGGGAACATACAGAAGGGTGAGGCGAGGAGCCAGAGCAGGTGGAAAGGGTAGACGCGGTTTTTGTGGCGGTCGCTGATGCGAGAGGGGCCGAGCGAGGGGGAGATGAGGAGGAAGACGAGCGCTGCGAGGGCGCCCTGGGTGAATGCGCGGAGGAACGGCGGGAGGACCGATGGCTGCTTGAGACCCGGGGACCAGATCTGCAGGGGAAGGATAGATGAGAACAGACAGAAGAGTGGGGCGATGGATGAATGCGCGGAAGAATGGCGGGAGGACGGAGGGGTGCTTGAGACCCGGGGACCAGATCTGCAGGTGGTTAGACGATGGGTGGGAACGTGGAGAGTGGTGGGGCGTGCGGAGGTGATGCCTTAAACAAATGCACGGAAAGATGGACAGCTGCTTGAGCGAGAAGGTTCAGATGTGCATGGTGAGGAGGGGCGATCACTGGAGAGGGGGATACACGGGAAATGCGACAACCCTGAAGAAGCGTTTGAAAGCGTACCCCTTGTCGCCGGGTCCAGTCATCGTACGCCGTGAACTCAAAGAACGGGCCCGTGATGTGCAGCCCGACGCAGAACAGGTACCCCATCAGCTGCACCACCGACGGCATGGTAACCAGCGCCGCCTTTCGCCTCTCCAATCGCGAACGCTCCGTCCGCTCCTCCCGCCGTCTCTGCTCCTCCGTCAATTCCTTCCTCTCCTTCTCGTCCTTGGCTTGCGCGCCTTCGTCCTTCTCCTCCAGCAGCGTGAGCCCGTCCTGGTAGTTATACGCGACAGCGGAGAGCTTTGTAGCGAGGACGGTGAGCGCGCCTGTGCAGTCGAGCACGCCCTCCGTGCGGGTCTCGTGGGTGCGCATGATGATGTGGCTGTAGGGGGTCGCATTGAACACGGGAAATGCACGTGAGAAACGGAAAATGTGAGAGGATGCAAAGAGGGAAACGAGATTGCTGGCGAAACGCATAAGGCGCTTAGCGTTTGCTCCAAAGGCTGCTACCGTCCTGATCTTGCGGCTTGACTCGTGATTCCAAACCCAAAAAATAATCAAGAAGCAGAGAACGACGAGAAGGGAAACTTACCACCCGATCAAGTACGCGAACGTTCCGAAGAACGTTAGGACGCCGCAGTTTCTACGAAACAGGCGCATTACGGCCATTGAGTAGAGCACGCAAACGACGAAATGCGCGTTCGCCGTCCATCCGAACACGAACGCCGATAGAAGCAGTCCCGTTACTGTGCAGTACAGGTGGCGGAGTGCAGGGGATGGGATGAATCTGTGAAGCCACGCGATCGGCACGAACGCGAGGCTAGCTAGCAGGAACGTCGCGGCTGGACGGGGCGTGCCGATAAGGTCGGCGAACGCCTGTACGGGATCCATGTCGGATCTCATGGCGGATCCCATGGCGGATCCCATATCGGATGATTCCATGGCGGATCCCAAGACAAGGAACAACAATGGGTCGATGCGGAGGCGAAAGGCAGGCCGAGGCTGATCTCGCTCTTCGAAGAGTGCTTGATGCCACCGGCGGTGTTTTAGTCAACGTACTTCCCCCCATGTCCATTTTATATCAGCTTTTTATGCAAGCAGGAGGCGAGAAAAACATGAACTTTGTCAGGCTCCGACCAGCAGCACCGCTACTACCTATGCAAGGGATTACCGAAGCCTAGGAACTAACTTGGCAAGACTGAGACTGACGTGAGTTGAGACTTAGTTCTCCGTATGACTGACATTGACATGAGCATGTGGTAATGCTGCTGCCTTCAGTGGTGTGCTGCTGACAAAATCGCAACTGACCATTGAAGTTCAGTGCTACGATGGCGAATCGTGACTGTTGATGAGGATGAATCCAAAGGGAAACCGCAACGACGTGTCGGGTCGGAAATGACAGGAAATCCGACAAAGCAGATGGTTGCGATGAGCTGTAACGGAGTGCCGTAATAACGAAGGACAATATTTTGATTAACGACAGCACTGTGACGATGACTCACCATCCAGGTTACCACATGCAAAATACAAACTCGCGAAAACAGACGAGCTTTCACACACGGCCTAATCTCGCAGCTGTCTTCTCCGTTTTTAAGCCTATGCGAGATCAGGGCGTGTCACTCAGGGTCCGCGGAGCCTAGGTCCGCAGGATCAAGGCTGGTCCGACGAGTCAGGACCTAAATCAGGTCCCACACTAATATCGCGGGGTGGTCTGACAAACCAAATCAACCCTTGCAATTTTGCGTGGCAGACTGGCAGACTGACTTGAACCAGGGCGGACCCTGTTCTGTACGTGCTTGGTCCTCGAGCAGCTGGTCCACCCTGGTCTGCTGTCTGGCCCGTCTGGTTCGCTGCGGACCAGGGACGCCCGGATCCTGAGTGCCCTCCAGCTCCAGCAGCACGGCTCCAGCGGCGAGCAAACCACTCGCGCAGCTCCTGTGGAGAGGGAAGCTCCCGCCGGGACAAAGCACCCGAAGGACCGCCAGGTCCAGCACCGACAGGCTCCACACCCCCACTCCCAGCAGCCCCAGGCTCAGTACCCCCAGAAGCAGCACCCCCAGGCCCCGCACGCTCAGGCTCAGCACCCCCAGACCCAGCACCCCCAGGCTCCGCAAGCTCAGGCTCAGCACCCCCAGACCCAGCACCCCCAGGCTCCGCACGCTCAGGCTCAGCACCCCCAGACGTACCAGAGTCAGCAGCTACCTCGACAGGCTCGACTGCATCTACCTGGGACACACCTGAGGGGGCAGGACCCTGAGGGGGGAGGGGGTCTACCGGGGGGGGACCGGGAGCGAGGAAGAGCGGCGGGGGGGGGAGGGGGGCAGTGCGGTAGGGGAAGAGACGGTAGTACGGAACCGACTCGTCAAACGTGACGTCCTGGGAGGACAGAACACGACGCGAGGTGGGGTGGTAAAACTGCCAACCAGGCGCGTCAGGGGGAAAGCCGAGGAAGACGCAAGGAACAGCACGGGAGGACAGCTTGTCCGCAGACAAGTCTCGGACGAAAGCTCGAGATCCCCAGACACGGAACGCAGACGCATCACCTCTCTTGTTCCCAGCCCACACACAAATCAGACTTCCCTTGATCTTTCTGGTGTACGTGTATTTGCATCACATAAGCCACCCAGCAATCCAGCGTACAAAGCTTCACCCTGCTTCTTGCACGCCACTCTCAGAATTGCAATGGCGAGGCTGCAGCTGTTGGTTTGGCTCGGATTGCTTGCTGTGTCGTCAAATTTATGTAAGGTTTTGCAAGATGGAGGAACGACCAGACCTAGCTTGGGATGGTATGAGGCGATTCTGCGATGTTACAACAAACGTTTTCTGGAGCTCCAGATCGCCGTTAAAATGTCAGAGCAAGCCTGCCTCTCGCAGGAGGAAACGTTTGTCTTGTTAGTAATTGTTTTCGTCCTTTCGTTTTTGTTCTCCAAGTGGCTCCACACACCACCTAAGAGCAAGCGCGGTCGTGCTTTGGAAGAACACGGACACAATGGCGTCCAGCCTATGGCTAACGCACACGTGGAATACGCACCGCCACATCCACGGATCGTGCACGACGTAATGCCCGTTGCGCCAAAGAGGGCCCCGGTCGCCGTGTTCTGGGACTATGAAAACTGTCAAATACCGCATGGAACCAACACTGCGTGGATCGTTGATCAGCTTCGCCAACTCGCATCAGCGTATGGCCTTGTGGTGGTCTTCAGGGCGTACGGCAAGGCTGAAGTGATGGCGTCGCGCAAGAGGGAGCTTACTGATTGCGGTGTTGAAGTACTACATGCTTTACCTGGAAGGGACATGGCAGATAAGGCTATTTATGTGAATGTGATGACCTTCCTGCTTGACGGGCGAGAGGGAATTTACGGAGACTACTACCTTGCCGAAATCGAAAACCTTGACCCATCTTTGTGAGTTTCTTTTCGCAGCCAAGCTGGTCCATGTTTGTCTCAGTCGTATTATTTCGTCTGGGCAAATTACACAACACTAAACACTTTCTTTAACCCATGAATGAGTTTTTTCTTCGCTTTTTGTCTTGCTAACAGGTCATGTGTGGTGCTGATTTCTCGGGGTTTTGGGTTCTTCCCTCTCATGGCATCCTTAATGGACCATCAAATCAAAAGGGTTCTGCTTACAAACCCGAGCAATGGACGATTGTATAAGGAGGGGGACGGACCACCAAGCCGCTTACGTCTCACTGACATGGTTAACGTGGCACTTGACTGGAGCAGCTTTGTGCAGGGGCGTCGGGTGTTTCTCAAAGACTACGTCTAAGCTGTCCCTTTGGATGGTGTTGCTGCGCAGGAATGAGATGTAAAGCTCATTAGCGGTAGTATTGGAGCTCTTAGAGTAGGAATCATAGTGGTGAAAGAGAAATGAAACTTGAAATTGTATAGGGCTCACCACAACACCCATCAACTTGTCACTCTCGCCCCATTGCACACCCCCTTCTCACTCTTCTTCATCCTGTCAGCAAATCCGTCCTGCCTGTACATTCCCAGCCGTCCCTCCCCGTTACTCCATTGAGCTTTGATGCAGACATACTCAGAAGTGCACAATCAATGGCGCTCACCCTGAGTATGCTCGCGGCGGTACCAATTCCCCGACTTTCCGCTTCCCGCTCCCATCTGCAGACCCTCGTATTCGCAACGCACGTGGCAAGCTTGCGACCCATCGCCGTTCTCCTTTCACAAAATTCTTCGCCGCACCTCGCGGAGTTTAGCGTGACAGGCACCTGCCACGACAAGCGGCGCAGTTTCCGCCAGGAGCGCACTCGTTCTTCGAAATGTTCCGCCCCATGCGCCGCATCCTCCGCCGAACCATCAGCCCCGGCAGAGATTCCGTCTCTTGACGAACTCCGTCGGATGCTGGAGCGGACGGAGAGCGCAACGCAGACGGAGAGAGCAGAATCGGCGGGTTACCAAGGATCAGACGGAAAAGGACTCGACATTGATGGCGGGAGAGTGTGGGAGAACGTGGCGAGAGCATCGACGCGGCTGTTCGGGCAGAGTGAGGGCGCGGAGGTGCGGGTGGTGCTGTATCGCGACGATGCCGCGTGGTGCCCCTTCTGCCAGCGCGTGTGGCTGCAGCTCGAGGAGAAGCGCATTCCTTACCGGTGAGAACGGATTTCGTGAGGGTGAGAACGAATTTTGTGAAGGTGAGAACGAATTCTTGAAGGTGGAAAACGGATTCCGTGAAGGTGAGAACGGATTCCGTGAAGAGAACGGTTTTTATGAATGTGAGAGCGAATTCCTGAAGGTGAGAACGGATTCCGTTAAGGGTGAGAACGGATTTCGTGAAGGTGAGAACGGATTCCGTGAAGGTGAGGACGAATTTCGTACACAGGTAAGATGAAAAGAGTTTTTGCAAGAGTGAGAGCGGATTACGTTCGGTTGAGAGAGGACAAGCAAACGCAAAGAGATTGAGTGAGTGTGTGGGTTCTGCTCATCATTACTTGCACCCCTATTCTGTCATTTCCCTCCCTCTCCCCGCCTTCTTGTGGCGTGGCTCACTCTCCCTGCTCCCTCCTCCAATCCCCCCAACCTTGATTCTCCTCTGCCTCTCTCCCTTCTCCTTTGCCTCTCTCTCCTCTCCTCTGCGGTTTTCCTCTCTCCTACCGTCCCTCTCCTGCCCCTCCAATGCCTTTAGCGTGGAGAGTATATACCTCGAGTGCTACAGGAAAAATATCTCAGCTTCGCCGATCTCCCCTCTCCGCATCTCTCCCCTCTCCCCTTGTCTCCTCCCTTCCATTCTCCCCAACTCTCCCCGCCCTTTCCCAGGGTTGAGAAAATAAACCTCAAGTGCTACGGGCCAAAGCCTGATTGGTTCTTGCAGCTCGTGCCCAATGGCATGCTGCCAGCTGTCCAGGTGAGGGCCCTGGCTTGGTGGTGTGTGCGTGTGAGTGCAGCCTGTCGGCTCCGTGATTGTTTGTGAACATGTTGTTTTCCTTCTTCAGTTTCCAGGCGATTGTGTGGCTGGCGACTCCTCTCAAACCTCTCAAACCCCTCCATACCACGCGTGTACTCACACAAGCGTGCACTGCTGCTACCCCAACCGCTCACCCATCTATCCCCGTTCGTACTGTGTCTCGTGTTTCTGTTCATCCACTCTCTGTGAAGTTTGCATCGCGGACGTGATTATAACGTAACACATCACACCAGAATCAAACCCCTGCCTGCACACCCCCCACTCCATTGCCTCCCCACCCCCCAGCTAGACGGGCGAGTGATCACAGAGTCCGTGACTATAATGAAGGAGATTGAAGCCGCCTTCCCAAGCCACTCGCCGCTCCTCCCCCCTCCCTCCGACGCGCAAGCAGCAGCGGCAGCAGAGCAGCTGATGGGTCTGGAAAGAGGGCTGACTCGGGCATGGCTCAAGTGGACCAAGGGAAAGGATGCCATGCGCTGGCTTGGTGGTGGTAGTGGCGGGGCCAGAAGCAGCAGCAGTGGGAGCAGTAGCGGCAGCAGTAGCAGTGGGGAGGGTGCAGGCGATGAGGAGGAGGGGGAGGGGCGGAGGGAGTTTGAGGCGGCAATGGATGCCATGGAAGAGGCTTTGGTGAAGAGCGGAGGGCCTTACTTCCTTGGGAAAGAGGTTTGTCTGTCGGTTTCACTCATTACACTCAATCTCGCTATTATGAAAGTCACTCTTATGTTCATCACAGTCACTCTTACCTTGATCACATTCAATCTCACAGTAAGGCCATCAAATTATGCCAGACTTTAGCAGAATGGTGCGGTATTGACCTACCATGCTTTCATACCAAATACCATCCATTGTGCTTTCAAACTACTTCGCAAGTGAGACTATATTTATTTATTCCCATGTACGGCAGCATATATACTTCTATCTGTCAGTGTGCCACACATACTGCTATCTGTCTCGCCAACTCATGTCTCCTGGCTCGTTTGCCTTTTATCTTTTAAACCTCCTCGTATGCTTCAAGTGCAAACTAGTCTCTGCCGCATTTCTGCCAGGAATGATCTCTCCATGCTTGCGTCCCTACTTCTCATGCGCTCCCAATTCTACCACCCATCCACACCTACCCCACCTCACATGTGGTTCTCCTCTCCCTTGTCGACGTGACCCACGTGCCTGCTGCACGTTCACCACAACATCCCTCCCTTCCGTTCCACACCCTCCCCCGCCTCCCAGCAGTTCTCCCTTGTTGACGTGACCCACGCGCCTCTCCTGGAGAGATTCGCTGCCAGCGCACCGTACTGGAAAGGCCTCACAGTGCGGAACAACCCTCGCTGGCCGGCCCTCTCCCGCTGGTACGACGCCATGGATGCCCGCAACGCCTACCTCCCTCTCAAGTCTGACGACTTCTCAATCACCCACTCCCTCGTCCCGCAAATCGGGCCAGTGATCGCGAGCGCCGATCCAACGGCTGTGGCGCGCCGGGCTTATATCGATGGACGGGATGGGACGGGCGCGTGGGATCTGCCGCTGGGGGAGGAGGAGACGGCGTGGGGGAGGGAGGATGGGACGGGGGGGGAGGGGCGGAGGGCGCAGAGAGAGGTGGTGCGGGCGATTGTGGGGAATCATGACAGGCTGGTGGCCTTCTGCCTGCGATCCTTAGGGCATTCTACTGCACGCGCCTCTGCCGTTGGTGCTGCTGGTTCTTCTGGGGCTACTGCAAGTGCTGGTGGTGCAGCAAGTGCTGCTGGTGTTGTTGCTGGTGCTGATGCTGGTGCTCCAAGGAACAACCAGAATCACGTGGGCCAAGCCGAGCCGCAGCAGCAGCTCATCACGGCAGAGTCCCTTGCGCCAGCTGTCAGCGAGGCGTTGCGCCACGTGGCGCATGCACTGCTGGTCGGCATAGAAGCAGCAGGCCCATTCCCTGCCATGTCAAAGGCACTCCAAAAGCCAAGTGGTGGGAGCAGAAGTGAGGATGTGAGAGCAGCAGGGGAAGAACGGCTGGTGATGGCTCTTGCGTATTTGAGGGATAGAGTTGGGGTGCCAAGGGACTTGAGCTATCCAGCTGCAAGGCAGCTGAGAGCTCACCTGCAGTGGGTCACTCGATCATTAGGATCCCCATTGTAGAGCCATACGTGACCTTGTTTTGATATATTGTACAGATTGTGTGACCCACACACCGATCGTCTTTGATCTGACGTGCCACTTGCGCAGTTTTGCACAAATCAGAATTTGTTATCGTTACAATACCAGTACATGGTAATGTACCGTAAGACCACCACCTCATCTCCCCTCTTGTCCCCCTTCATGCCGGTACCGGTAAGTCACGTTGGTGGGCTGAGAGTACTTATAACACACAACTTTCCATTGAAAATGGTAGGTGGTGTGGCTGCTACTTTATGTACACTACCCCATCCCACATGGGGTTTCCTAATTGCCAACGTATGTCGGCTCTTCTTGTTGGAACCCCAGTAAGCCGAACATGCACCTGCCCTGCAGTGTCTACTCGCATCTGAACAACATCAGGCATGTCTTGCAACATTGCTACAACCGTCCAGAATAGCTGGGACTCCTGCTTTCCTTCAAAAAAGAACCCATGCCTTCTCAATATGCAATCAAGTGGTTGCTTGCCTCGCTCTTCTAGTTCCCGTCGGAGCGAATTAAGGAAAGGCCAACCCTCAGCCCAGGTTCCACCCTGTGAAGACACAACAGTGCCTTTGCTTGCGACAATTGCCGCCAGGGCCTCAGATTGGTTTTTGTGTACCCTGAGCACTCAGTGTTCCTAGGAGGGTAACACTGATTTTCAGTGTCGTCTAGTGTGAAACACTGATTTTACAGGGTTGTTAGAAATAAAACGCTGATCAATCAGGGTTTCTAAAACTTCAACACTGATCAGCATAGTTGCTTATACTGGTATGCTGTCATAACACAGAGAATCAGACTGCCCTTACTTTACAATTCCCAAATTCGGCCAGAATTCTGCTGTTTCCGTGTCTGATTGGTCAGAAATCTTGTCTGACCAATCGAATAGGACATTGTTTCTGATCTCTGGTTGTGTACTTGACTGGTGATTCGGACTTGGTTCGTCACAGCAGATTCGCCCTGACGGCAAATTCGACCTCGCACAGTCGTTACGCGCTGTCGCAGCACAGCAAATTCGCCCTATCACAGCAGATTTGCCCTGACACAGCAGCAGATTCGCCCCTCACACAAGAGATTCGCCCTGTCAGAGCATGTTTCGCCAGAAATCTCCTTGGTGACGGCGCGCCAAAACAAGGAGTTTTCGGTTTCAGGGTAGACCCCGATACAACACTGACTCGTCAGTGTCCTCAAACACAAAACACTGGAAAATCAGAGTTCGAGATTAAAAAACACTGAAACATCAGGGTCGTTGAAAAAAAAAGGCTGATGCATCAGGGTCATGATAAAAAATGGGGGTCAAACTTCAGGAATTCATGGTAAAATTCCTGACATCTGAGGCCCTGATTGCCGCCATTACTTGATGAACCAGATTTCTCATCCTTGACTGGATAAGCGCCAAGCTTCTCAGGTTTTCTGGCGATGAAACGAGCTGCATCGTTCGCTTCACTAATATCCACTCCTCGGCAGTTGATTCACCATCCTTGCAAGATTTGAATCGTGTCCTAGTAACGTCCAGCTGCACCACAGCAGGCAAAACATCTCCCAGGTCCTCGAGGCACTTCAGGCCATAATCTGCCAGTCGTATTGATTTGCCGATGAGATCGCAAGAAAGCTGGACAAAGTGAGGCATGTTGATGGAAAGCTCCCCACAAGCGCCAAGGACTGTCATCACCTGGTACTTGAGGGTCGCCAAGGAAATTTCATCAGCTGAGAAGCCTTTCACAGCACGTTCCTTCACCCTTGCAATGTCACATCCGCATAGCTCACTTCCAACAGTGGCTCTTCTGTCTACCTTCTCAGCATGTCCATCCTCACTTTTAGCAGTCGCATGCCCCACTGATGACACAGGGCGAAATTTTGTGGACAGATTTTGTGGAAGTAACCGGTCCCAGTTATGGATGTCAGCTCCTGTATTCAATAGCCGTAAGGAGACTGGAAGAGGCCCGTATACTCTGGTGATTGCAACCACTTTGACATCTCGGTCAAGAAGCCTAGATGCAAGTGGAGCGAAGCCAGAATCAGCAGTGATAACCACCACGCATGAAGAAACCGACCTGAGGGATTATACGAAGGGAAGAAAGAAATGCGTGCCGTCAGGAAAAGGTTGAGCCGCTTGATTTGAATTGAAGCAAAGGGCTTACCTGCTCGGTAGTAAGACTTCAAGCTGGTTGACTTTAGATTCTCGAATTCCCCTCTGGTTGTCCAAAACGAAGCACATGACGTCGAGAATTATGGCCTTGTCAGCCGATTCCTTTCCTGATGGTACTTGGACGAACTCCACACCGCATGCTTGCAGCTCGCTTGCACGTGAACCCAGGAGTTCCTGCTTTCCGTAAGCCGCGAACCGGCTGACTTCTCCATACGAGACAGTAACAACTTTCAAACGACGGACAAAATCTGTTGTGTTGCATCCGTGGGGAATTGCACAGTTCTCAAAATCCCAAAAGGCTCCAACGAGAACAACTTGGACTGCATGGCGAATCTCCTGCAAACTTCTTCTTTGTGAGAGTACAAATGCCATCACTTGGTCTATAGCAGCAGGTGGCTTTATCAAATGTTGGGAGAAGCGTACTTTGTGGTGAAGGAGCACTCGGCTTAACGAGCAGCATTACTATGACCTCCAGTCTCCTGACTGAAATAAAACTAGCGGCAGCTGAGAATGACCAGACCACGAGCTCGGAAAAGTTCAGCCTGACTACCTTCTCCCTGAACGAGCCGCGAGCCATCATCGACATGTGTAGAGTTTCCTCAGGGATCCAAGTGTCAAGGCAGGGTGTGCAGGGTGCTAGCTAACATGCTCTGTTCACGGCGCTGTTGGGATGGGTGGGCGAACTTGAAATTTGATCGGCGGACTTATCCGTAGTCTAGATATCTCTCGGGAAACTGGGGTTTTCTGGTGTCACGAAATAACAAGGTGCATTGCGTTCTAGCGCGGTTCAAAGAGGACATCGCGTGGTGAGATTTGTGCAGGAGCTGAACCTGACAAAGCACCTCTTCCAGAAGTTTTTACCGTAATACCCCGGATATAAGACCCGGGGGTATTATAAGAATCCCACCCCAAAAATGAGGGGGGGTCTTAACAGTTGGCTACATTTTATAAGACCCGGGTCTTATCATAAGGTCAAGTATACTTCTTGTGTTTTGGAAGTCATACATGTCAACACTATGTGCTTCGTTTTTAGCCTCAAAGGGAATGCGCCAATGAAATTCGTGTTTAGCATACAAAATTATTACACGAAATTGACATGATGATGCGTATATGTGCTTTTGTGACTGGCTATACCCCTCATTAATGAAAAATTTATGGGATATGGTGCGGAAAGGGGCAGAAAAGCTATCATAATTGCATTCATTGCCAATAAAACGACCGATTCTCTAGGGGGAGGAGGGTCTTATAATGTTAGCCCCCATTTAGGGGGGTATAACAAAAACAACCCATTTAGCGTACCCCCCTCCGTATTATAGACCCGGGGGTCTACAACTGGAGGGGGTCTTATATCCGGGGTATTACGGTACTACACCTCTCATCACTTCATGCACGGTGCTATTTGGAGCCAACATCACGTTTCTACCGATTGACGTTGCTGACTCTGACATGCATGACGTGTCGGTTCGTCCTTTTCAGACCCATTCTGCACCCTTTTTGCCGAATCGCGAGGTGTCGCGTCGCAGCGCATGACGCACGCTGTCATGTGGTCAGGCGGGATGAGATCCCCGCGCGGACGTGCCGCGACTCAGAATACTATGCAGGACGGAGCACGCAGAGAGCGCGGAGTGCGCGAGGCAAGGCAGCGCCGTCAGGCAGGGCGGAGGGACGCCCTCCGGATCGCACGCGCAAACGATTCCGCTCGAGAAAGGACTGCCTGAGCGCGAAGACGTGATCATGCACGACCGTCTAGCATGACAGACGTGATCGTGACAGTTTAGTGCTTCTATTTGCATCTTATGAAAGCACTTCTCGTTTTTGCCGCTCGAATCTCTGGTCAACATCGAAGCACCTGATCAATATAGCCGAGACGGGTCCCGTCGGCGCGCGAGCTGCTAACGAATTTGTTGGCGAAGCGTCAAGGCGATCGAACACTTAGGTGAGGCGATCGAAACCCTGTGCGCTCTCTGCGGGCCGTTGCTCGCGCGCGGCGAAAGGTTGCAGAGCGGAGCAGACGGAGAGACTGGCCGATGAGGTACCTCGGTTGTGATTATTGTTGCGTGGCTATGGCGGAATATTTATTCCGTATTCTGGTCACTATGTGCCCGACACTTCACCGCTCTCCCTCTGTGCCGGTTACCTTTTCTTTCTCCCACACGCGACGTTTCTCCCGCTCATGCCCTTTCTTCCCCGCTACCCGATCGCCCTCAGAACTGCTCTTTCCGCGTGGCTGACGTGTGTCTTGAGTCGACTCAAGCACACGTCAAACACCTTCCCTTTCCCGCACATGGCCCTTGCCCCACACTACCCACCCATTTATCGCTCACAGGACTGCTCTCTCCGCGTGGTTGAGCAGCAGTACAGCACCGCCGGACGGTCAAGCAGGCCGTTCCAGTCACCCCCACTCCGCTTATAACAAGGACGGCTCGCCAGGGGTGTCAGTGTCGTGGGAGGACTGGCAGCGCGCGTACGAACAGGCGGGAGGCACAGTGGGCAAGCCGCAGCAGCAGGAGGGGCGTGCGGAGGGCAGAAAGCGACAGGAGAATGTGAAAGGCGTGCCAGGCAGACAGCAGCAGGAGGCGTTTCAGGTGATCCAACACGAGTCCCTTCGTTCATGTGTACATGCATGATCGTAAGTAATGCATGATTCTGCATAGTGTAGTTCGCTGCAGTGCATGCGTGTGTGGTCCTGCAGCTGCCTGCCGATCCTCCGTACACCCTTTTTATTGTGAAGCATCTTTGTTTGTTTGTTTGTTTTTTTTTTTTTTTTTATGTAACCTGTTGCCAGATCGACGTGATGGTATGGTGTGAATGCATGCGATGTGATGCTGCCCTGACA